ACACTTGTCTCCCACTTGTCTCCCAGTAAGCTCTGGATGCTCTGAGTCACAACCTGGATCCATAAATTTCATGTTTTAGCCCTTGTACGGCGTCCCATTGTAAAGTCAATGAAAAATAGAATTTTAATGCTTTCCCTTTGAATTTTGTATGTGCGTCTACATGGTGGACTACAGTTTTCTTCCTCTAGGAAATACTGCTGGCCATATTGTTCGGAGATCTCATTTTTGAACATTGCTCTGTTTGGGGTCTACGCGGGTATAATTAAAATTAAACATGCCTTTGAAAAGGCTTTTTCAAAGGGAAAATCAATTAGGACAATCCTTTTAAATTGAAATTGCTTTGGAAAAGGCATTTTCAAAGGGAGAATCAACTTAGTTTCTTCAATTAAAATTGCCTTTGAAACAGGGAAAATCAATTAGGAACATCTGTTTTAAGTTAAAATTGCCGCGGACAAGGCTCAATTCTTTCTTAAGATGTGTCCGCCCTTTGTGTCACTGCTGGCATCCGCCCTTTTCCGCTGGCCATGTAGCTACAATGTAGCATTTCTATTATGTAGCATTTCTATTCATGTGTCTCCCAGGTCTGTCACTGCTGGTGTCCGCCCTTTTCCGCTGGCCATGCAGCATTTCTATTCATTTGTCTCCCAGGTCGTTGCTGGTGTCCGCCCTTTTCGGCTGGCCAAGTAGCATTTGAATTCATTTGTCTCCCAGGTCGCTGCTGGTGTCCGCCGTTTTCCACTGGCCATGTAGCATTTCTATTCATTTGTCTCCCAGGTCTGTCACTGGTTTTCTACTCATTTGTCTCCCAGGTCTGTCACTGCTGGTGTCCGCCCTTTTCCGCTGGCGATGCAACATTTCTATTCATTTGTCTCCCAGGTCTGTCATTTGTCTCCCAGGTCTGTCACTGGTGGTGTCCGCCCTTTTCGGCTGGCCATGTAGCATTTCTATTCATTTGTCTCGCAGGTCTGTTTATGTCGTTGCTGGTGCCCGCGCTTTTCCGTTGGCCATGTAGCATTTCTATTCTATTCATTTGTCTCCCAGGTGTCACTGCTGGTGTCCGCCCTTTTCCGTTGTCTCCCTTCATTCTTTCTTTGTCTCCGGTCTTGTATCTGTGTCCGTCTTGTCTCCCTTCTGTTATCTTTTGTCTCCCTTTTTGTCTCCCTTCTTTTCTCCCTTCTTGCTGGTCGTTGTGTCCTCTTTGTTTCCGGTCTTGTCTCCCTTTTCGGTGGTCACTGCGTCCCGCTTGTCTGCCTTCTGTTATCTTTTGTCTCCCTTCTTGTTGGTCATTGTGTCCGCCTTGTCTTCCTTCTGTCTCCGGTCTTGTCTCCTTTTTTGGTGGTCACTGCGTCTGTCTTGTCTCCCTTGTGTTTCCCTTTGTCTTCCTTCTTGTCTCCCTACTTGTTGGTCATTGTCTCCAGTCTTTTCCCCAATTGTTGTTGGTCACTGTGTCCGTCTCGTCTCCCTTCGTCATTGTGTCCGTCTTGTCTCGTTTCTTTTTTGTCTCACTTCTTGTCTCCCGTCCTGGTTGGTCATTGTGTCCGCCTTGTCTCCCTTCTGTCTCCCTTTGTCTCCGGTCTTGTCTCCGTTCTTGTTGGTCACTGTGTCCGTCTTGTCTCCTTTCTGTTCCCCTTTTTTTCTTCTTGTTTCGCTTCTTGTTGGTCATTGGGTTCATTCTGTCCGTCTTGTCTCCCTTCTGTCTCCCTTTTTCTCCGGTCTTGTCTCCCTTCTTGGTGGTCATTGTGTCCGTTTTGTCTCCCTCTGTTTCCTTTTGTCTCCCTTCTTGTCTCCGTTCTTGTTTGTCATTCTGTCCGTCTTGTCTCCCTTCTTGATGATGTCTCAACAAGTGGACTTGGGAATGCTTCGTTGTTGTCTAACCTGTTTGGGGTCTACGGTGTAATTTTAGTTAGAATTGGCCTTTTCAAAGGAAAAATCAATTTTTCAATTAAACTTGCCTTTGAAAAGGCTTTGTAAAAGGAAAAATTAACTGGAAATTTTTTTTAACTAAAAATGCCTTTGAAAAGGCTTTTTCAAAGGGAAAATCAATTGAGACAATCTATCTTTAGTTAAAACTGCCTTTGAAAAGGCTTCTTAATAGGGAAACTCAATGGGGAAGCACGAATCACGAAACGAATCACGAATCACGCGGCTGGAGGTTTTATAGTTAAACTGCCTTTGAAAAGACTGTTTATATAATAGGGAAAATCAATTGGGAAGCACGAATCATGAATCACGAAACAAATCACGAATCACGAATTACGAACTCCAAAAGTGGAATTCGCTGCGTACGGACCTTATCAACAATGACTTGCAAGACTACCTTGCCTAAGACGTCAGTCAATGCAATGGGTCTCGCATCTTTTGTGTTGTGGGCTGCTGTCTTTGCAAGCAATGTAAGCTAGCTAGGCGCTACTGCTTCCCCCCAGCGCAGTCAAGCATATCACACGAAGCCTGAACACGGGGCATGGCAAGGGTACAAAATCGGGGGCTGCGTAAATTTACAACCTGCTTTTAATCACCAAACTGCGCGGCATCATCTGCATCACGGCCATTGGAAGCCTGTCACCAAAGGTGTTGGACATGTTGGAAACACTTCTCTGCCGAGGGGGTATGCTTGCCCTTTGCTAGGAAGAAAGCCCTGGGAAAACATCGTGAACCCATCTTCTCCCCTACCAGCCCTAGCTCTGGTTGAACCCCTCACCGGCGTGCTCCTGGTGCAAAAGGTGTTCAACTCTGCAAGGTTCAAGTAGTCAATGGTGTCTTGGCGATGTGCCAAAGCTTGGGATCGGCGCTGGAATTGGGACCAGCCAGCCGCAAACACACCGCTAGGAATGCCACGCGACGACTGGACGTCCAGAGAGAGCCCACCCGGTCCAAGGCAGCATGTCCAGGGCGAGGGGTGGCTGCGGAGCGGCCGAAGGGCTTGTAGAATCATCTCAGCCCAGCGTCTACAAGAGCCATGGGAGGCAAGGGAGACAAAGCAGAATCAGCATCCAGAAGAGTTCGGGGGGCAAAGGAAGAAAAAGGGAAACAAAAGGCCAGAACTCATCTTGGTCCAGGATCTTTTTCTTGCAAGAACCCCTCACAGCAAAGCTGTTTGGGAATAAACATCAATCCCGGCACAATGGCACCATCATTCATCATCTAATTACCTGCAGCACGTAGCTGTCAATGATTAAGTACCCAAACATGCTTTGTAGTCTCCCCAACCTAGGCGAGATGCTAAAGAGGCAATGTACCAACCCTCGTCCTTGCAGACTACTTTCCGATACAGCTGCTCCCACCCGCGCACAGGTCTTTCACAAAACGTAGATATGCCAACGCCACCCTCATATAACCACAAATAGACTGGCCTGCGGCCCTCTGGGCTTTGGTGCTGCACTCACCACCAAAAAAAGCTATAATGCCTCATCTAGTTCATGAGCGTGAGCAGTCGCACAATCTTGTTGGTGCACCAGTGTTGCATGAACTTGGTGGAAACTTCTCCATCACAGGCATTGTCGAACACCCAAAGTTCTTTGCAAAAGACGCCTCCTCACCCTTCGGGTGTCTGACTTGCGTGCGCCAGTCTTTCAACCTGACTGCAGCATTGAACTGTGGACAGATGACAGATGGATCAGTTCTCAGGGTCCATCAATGTTTCAACATGTTTCAACCAACAGCTGCCTATGCGATCGTAGATTCCGACAAAGTGCAAAAGAAAGGCACAGTCAACAGACTTCAGTTGAACGCCTTGTCGCCTTCAAGTCTGTATCCTGACTCCATTTCGGGTCCATATTTTCAGTGATTGAAAAGCAGTTGTTGAACAAGCATCCTTGTCTTTGCGCACCACCCATTTAGTGATGAGTGGAGTGGTGGACTTTTTTGGCCACCCTTGTACCTGAACGGTCCAACATACATCTGCAGCCGTTTTCTTTTTCATGGATCCCGGCACACAAGCTGGAACACTTGCCAGTTTCTCTCATTTCCGAAAGTTTAGCGGCTTAGTAGACAGATTGAGTGCAACCGCACTGCTGATCTAACTGCAAAAGAATATGCGCATCGTATGTCTCTAAAATTTTCGGACCTAGCACCTTCACTCGATGATGCGGCGCCGCACTACCAGCAGTGGCTGGCTAAAGTAGATGATCTCTTGCCGGCTGTCACCCTTGCACCAAGTGGTGTCTCGGTTGATCCAGATGGTGACTTCACGGTTGCAAGTTGTCGCGGGAAGTTTCCTTCATGGCCGTGGATCATTGATATTTGTACATTCACTTGGTGCCCGAAGATTCCGAGAAAACTCACCATCCCACCCAAGTGGGATGGTTCAGCAAAGGAATGGGCTAGCGGCTAAACCAGCTGCGTTGGAAGATCGATGACACCTGTTCAGTTTCCTTTTGTGAGCTTGCTGTCATCTTTACCTTTCAGACATAGAACTTGCTACCTACTATGACTATTACTATCGGAAACTTCGCCTGGCTATGCTTTTGCTGCCCCAACCTTTCCCAGGCACATTCCACTCCACCTTCCAGAAATCAGATGGAAGGACACTCCAACAAGGGGCGATTTGTGGTGCCATACTGTGGTCTGGAGATGTGTGTCTTTGCAGGCTGGCCAAGTTGCTCTCATTTGGTGCTGGACCCACGTTGTCTTCATGGAGGATTCCTCTTCGGTAGTTTTTCACTTTGCATCGGGGTTCATTTGTGTATACAGGCCTGTGTGCCTGGTACTAAACCAGCCACATTTCACTCGTGGAGAGTGGTCGCGCTTGGTGATATATGATGATCTATGTATATACAATATATATACATGCATGATTTATATTTATATAGAATTTTCACCACTACACAAGCTGTGCACTATCACCAGACTCTCTTCTTTTTCGTCTGAACTGGGGATGCTTCCGGGCAGCTATGCTGCCAAGTGAATAGGAAAATTATGCATCTGAACTGACCACTTACTTACTGTACAAAGAACCTTTCGACCTACTTCATTACCTACTCAGGACTACCCGTGTATCTTCCCCATCTATCGTAGTCGAGATCCACTTTCACGTAGTCGTAGACAATCATGCGATCCAGCTCTTGCCAATTCAACCTGGACGGTGCATCGGCAATATTGCTCGGTGATGGAATTCGTGCATACCATGTCAAACTGTCATTACAGGCATCCTGAACCATGGCTTCAACTAGCATTCTTCTGCTGGCCTTAGACCCAGTAGTGCCTGCAACGAACGCTTCCTTCACCCCATCATTGTCTATGAAAAACAGGACTCGAGCTCTTCTGAAGAGATGCTCGAACTGTTGTTTGCAAATGACGACTGGCATCATCTCAGCTTGTGCTATCACTTGCTCATTGCCATGTGCGTGCCATTCATCTACTATCGATGCGGCACTCGGAACCCGAATGCAATCGCCCTCTCGGTCCTGGGAGACAGGATAACCGCCCCACACGAGGCTACACCCGCCTCATAGGCCCCGTCTGTGAAGACGACACACGGTGGTTCCTTGGTCACTGCTTGGAGGCTCCGAGGAGGAGCAGTCCTCAGCATTCGCGCGGCCAACGGCAGTGCATCTGAGATCTCACTTGTGACTTGCTTCACGGACTTGCTCATCAACGACCTCTGCTTGACTGGTTCCAAAATGGGGGCCAGCCACCTTCCACTACATTGAGCCTCTGCAAAGTTTAGCCTGCCGTACACTTTGGCTGCCAGTGAAGGGGGAAAAGATCTCAACCTCCCTATCTCCTTGATGGTCAGGTCCAATTCATCCGCCCTGTCGGGCTTGTTCCTGACCACCACTGCTCCGTCGCTCACCTGATTCAAGTCAATGACCACTCCTAGCACGACAAATTGGCTCGACGGTGGTGTCCTCTTCTTTGGGTCTTCTGCTATCCCCCTACCCAAAATCCTCATGGCCTCCTCCATCACCACCTGTGACCGAACCGCCATTGACTCGATGTCCACGTGTGGGAAGTCATCAAAGTAGTTCACCACTGGCAGCATCAGAAACTTCTGAAGAATATCCCTCAAGGCCCTAGCCACCCTATTGAATGCCATGAGCGCCCCCGTTGCTCCGAAGGGGAGGACACACGACACGAAGTACTTGACAACCTCATCCACTGGATCTAGCACCGCTATCACAGCATTACTCCGGTCTGATGGAGCCAACGCCAACTGCTTGTATGCTGACTTCAAATCGAGGCACCTACCATTCAAGGCCAATGGCTTCCCCCGAAACTCCTCAGCTCTGGGTCCTTCCAAGGTCAGTCCCGACGAGAGGCAAACCTTCACTTGGTCCTCGCCATCTCCGCTCACTCTCATCCACGCTGCCGCCAGGGACACGACCTCGTCGACCCCCCCCAAGTCCAGCTTCTCTCCAGGGCCGTAGCGTTGATTCACGGAGAACTCACTCAAGTCATCAATGTTCCTAACCTTCTGGCCCTGGATGATGCCAAACCTCCTGCTGGGAGTCCACAACGGCCCCACCTTCTCGCTCACTTGATCAGCAGAAAGCGGCCCTTCCAGCAACCCACACTTGACTTCTTTGATAGTAGCATCCCACACTTCCTGGGCTACGTCAACCATCTCACCTGCCATCTCGACTTCCCTTCTCGCTACGTGTAGTGGAACCCTGCATGCCTATCACCTCCTTCTGAGCTGACTTGGCCCCTCTCCACAAATCCTTTTTGTCCAGCAACGGAGGCTTCACTTCCGGGGCAAACCTACCTTCTCCCGTGATGGGCATTCCATTGCACAGGTCCTGGACTAGATGCACATCCCCGTACCCCACCTGCCTGACGAGCTCGTCCAACAAGAGTCGTTTCTTTGTCTGTAGCACTTCAGCAACTTTCGGCTCTAACGACGCATGGAGTTCACTCTCTCTCACCTCTAACTGTTTGGCCCTCAACTTCAACCACTTCAGCCGGCCTCTCTACTCTTTGTCTGTGCACTGCCTCCGAACCTCTCGTCAACACTTGAAACATTGCATCCAGCATGTGATCTGGCATCTGGAAAGAAGTGTCGAAGGGGTGTTGCAACTCCCTCGCCCTCCTCGCTGCCTCTGTTGGCGTCATGGGGATGCCAAGAGACACTAAGCGGCCACACTTGTGCTGATCTCCACCTTCCCCATCCCTGGTTTCTCCCCATGAATTGGATGGGAAATGGTGCAGAACACGAGTCCCGGAGGGGAACGAGCGACCTGCAAGTTGAACTTGACTGGACGAACGCCCATGCCGCCTCAAAAGTAGCTCGAGGCTCTAGTTGGACGGCTGTCAACTTCTGTTCGATGGCTAACTTGCTCATAATGACTGCAATCCTCTGACATAGTACCAGGGGGTACTCAGCCTCACTAGCAGTATCATACTTCCAGCATCTTCCAGCCACCATCGAGCGACTTGCTGACTGACCAACTTTTGTGAGTATGACTTCCATCACATCTCACTTCGAGTTGACGGAGTGCTTCGCAGTTGTGTAGCAATGACGTTTGTTTGTCTCGATCTCCCCCATGCATGCACACGTGACAAGTGCTGAAAAAGACACGCTCCAGGTTGAACAAAGCTGCAATGCACGGGACCCACCACATGTAACTGTTCTTCGGGTTTTCGATGAACACGTACACTTTGCGGGCATGGCCATACTTAAAGACCTCTGCTGCTGTTTCATAGCATGCGTTTGCCAATTCAACCCGAATCAACTGCTCTCCACTGAGCCCCGGCAGGCCGCTGGGGTGCTCGATACCGCATGGGGGAGCCATAGGTATGAAGAAGACGTTCCCACTGTCGATCTTCTCCTTGATAAACTTTGCACTACTTGGCTTGGACAAGTCTAGCACTATACAAGGGCCTACTCGGTTCTTACACTTCTTGTGGTCAATTCCTACTGCCGAAAAACCATGCAACTTCAAACACTTGGATAACTTGCAAGACCCTGCAAACAACTCAACCGTTTGTGGCACTACCAATCACATTTTCACTTCGTCTGCAGTGCCTGTTGGCGAAAAAGTGTTCTGTACAAAGTTCGGGATCAGCTCGAGGTCTCCTGTCTGACCCCGATTCCATTGGGCCTTCACTCATCAACTTCCAGGCCCTGCGATCTGCTGCGGTGAGTTGGCTCAACGTCACCTGGCTGTAGCCTGCTGGGGGCTCCCTCTGGTACTCCTGAAGGAGCTTGTCCACTAGCTTCTCGTGGATGGTGAACGTCATCACGTCTGCCACCTCCAGAGCCAGCCCCCTGCGTGTATAGGCTTGCCTCAACCTCAGGTCAGTCCTGGTGTCAGCGTCTGGCATCTTCGCTTCATCGTGGGCTCGCAAGTGTCCACTCGCATCTCTCCTGATCAGCTCTTCCGTCTTGATGTTCTGCAACTCCTGGTCACGAGTGGGGATCTCGTGGGGCGCCATGTAGCGGAGCTCTCCATCCACCCTCATCGAATATTGTCCACCACATGATGGGCTGGCTCCAGCTGGTCACTGATCTGGAGATGGGCATACGTCGCCCTCAGCTGCGCCCACCTCGTCTTGCGCTCCACAGGTGGCAGTTTCCTGGTTTTTGAACCGTCTGCCTCTTGGGTTCCCTCCAATCTCTGCCTCAGCTCAGCCGCCACCACGGTGTAGGCCCCGTGGTGCAACTTCCTGAGTTTCGGCAGATCTGCATGGTCTGCTCGCCCCAGGATCGGTGTCACAACCTGGGTCACGAATGCTGTGTCATCTCCTGATCCTGGGGCCCAACTACTTGCGAAAGCAAAGGTGGACAGGGTCGTCCACCCTCGATGAGCCATGTCATCTTTGTAGCCATCGAGGCCCAAATCTTTCAACTTTGCCTCGAAAACTGCAGATGACTCCGTGAGTGTGGCCATGGCTTCAGCTTCACCTACCGCCTGGCCTGTGCCTCGGAGCCACCACTTGACTGCGGCCAAATCACTCAACTCACATTACTGCCAACCTGTCACTCTTGCAATCTTCTACTTCAGTTCAACTCTCAACACTTGGCAAAGATGACAAACCCGACTGTCCTACCGGCCTCTTTCACTCTCCCGTCAGTCCTGCTGCGGCGCACTTCCATCGACAGGACGTCCCCGTCCAACTTGACCTGATCCGGACTACCCGGGGTTCGGTCACTGCCGGAAACTACTCCCGTACAAGAAGCACTTCTCACTTCAACTTGGACTAACTTTGCTTTCCCTGAATGTCTGACCACTCACTTATTGACTTCTGTTGTACTTGACTAGAGCTTACCACCTTCAGCCGCTGCCTCTGGTCTTTTCACTTCGATCAGTCACTTCAGGCCTTTGCCTGACGTACCCTTCACACACTTTACATCTACTTCCCAGCAACTGTACTGCCGTGATGAATGGTCCCCGTCATACCATGCCTATACAAATCCGTGTTGGATTTCTTCGGAGGCCCAAGTCTACCGTGGACTACTGCTTCCAGGTTCCTCTCGTCTTCACTTTCTTGGCCTTCATCCACCGTCTCCTCATCTTCACTTGATGATTGGTCAACGGTGACCAGGCGGTATGACATCTTCTCAGGGGTTGGCACCTCGTGCATCTGGTGCCTCTCCTCAACTTCCGGCAGCAGGTCCTCGTCCTGGTCGTCCGCCTGCGGCTCCACCTGGGTGTCACTTGGCATGGGGTCCATCCCCACAAACCTTTGGTTCCTCGGTGCATCGGGTCGGAACTTCTTCTGCTGGATGTCGTTGATGATCCTGGTGAGGTACTCGAGGCCAGCAGCCAAGGCATCTCGGCTATACACTAGCACTGACTTGTCCTTGGGCTTGACATGATAACCCATTAGCCTCCGCACCTTCTCTGGGACCATATACTTCGCCGTGGCCTTGAGCGAGTGGGCTCCCACGTTGCTGAGTTGACCAGGTCCCAACGAGTACTTCCTCAGGATCTCGCATAGCCAAACACTTGCCTCTGCCGTCGACAGCCTGGCCGCACTCCAGCCTCCTCCAGGTACTGGTGTCGGTAGGAAAGGCCTGCCCGGCATGCCTCTCAGGCCTGTGAGGCCCCTGAGTTTCAACAGCTGCACTGCCCACGCTGCACCTGTCACTCCAATCTCGGGGGCAACCACCGGTAGGACCCTGCACGCCCTGCCTGCTATCGAGTCTGTCTTGTGGGTGGATGTCCCACCCTCGAAGAAGCCCCCATCGACTTGCGGCTCTTGTTGGACGCCTTGGCTATCCCCAAACCTCAGCCGCCCATAAATACAAACCAAGCAATGCCCCGCAAAGACACTATCTTGCACCGGGAAAGTCTGCTCGCGCACAACCCGCTCCAAGATTGAAACTTGGTGCACTGTCAGGGCGTCTCTCTGCTTCAACACCCTCTTGGTCAAGAAGCTCCTGTGGGCCGAACCAGAGATTCTTGTGCTCCTAAGGATGTCGTCGACTCCATCCAACTCGATGGTGCCTTTGCAGAATGCCAGTGCGCTCCGGAAACTACTTGCTCGGGTCGCCGGAGCCCCATCTCTTCTCAGCTGATCGACGTACTCGTAGCACAACTCCTCCTGCAACGGGAATGGTTTGTACCCCTTAGCTCGCTCAGCCGCACTTGCAAGGTGCCATTCTTCTTCTTTGCGAAGATGTCGTCGAGCACCTCCTCACCATCCGCCTCAATCATACTTCTTGCCCTCGAGTGCCTGCCCGCCTCAGCTTGGGCACGGTCCCATGGCATCCTTCCACTCTCCTTGAAGGCGAAGCTTGGCTTGATCTTGGGTGGCTCTTGTGACTGCGCTGCCGGCTCCACTTCGACCTTCATCGACTTGGCACTTCTCGTACTTTCTTTCAGGCTCTCAAGGGGGAGAATCTCAACTTTCTGGTTCAAGACCGCGCCTGCGAATCCTCTTTCCCAAGGCATCTTCAAGTGCTCGGGGACAAACTTCTTCAGCTTGTGCTGCTCATTCGGGATCATGCCATACTCGTCCCAATCGATCGCCTTCTCCTCGAAGGTGGGGACCGCTTTCGATGGCCCGGCCTGAGTTCCATCTATCATCCTCTTCAACCTTGGCGAGGGGCTGATGTCTTCCGTCTCCTCCTCGTGGGCCTCTGAGGAGTACAAGGAGCACACTTCTGTCGGGGAGCCAGATCTTCCGATCCTGTCAGCTCTCCTCATCGCCTCCACCTCCCAGACCCTCATAGCCAGCTCACCGAGGGGCTCGTTGATCTCCATGTGCACCCCCGCGCCATCCCCCTCCTCGGGGGCATCATCCATGGCCTCCACGTCCATGACGCACTTAAAAACGTGGGGGGGCCACATGGACTTGAGCCAATGGGGGGCCACATGGACTTGTAGCCAAAATGGCCACCAGTGCACACCCACTGCTTCATGACACATTCATCCGTTATTGTTTCGTTTGTAAAAGACACTATTACTTTGGAACAGTATGCGTTTACATGACTTTCTTGGCTGCTTTCGGGGTCAATGACATGAAAGCCAATGCTCCTCACATAGATTGTTTGTGCATGCCCTGTGCTGGCCAAAGAGCTTCTTGAACCGTTTTCGGGCCAAGTGTGGGAAGATCCACTCATAGCCATGCATCACACGCGCGGAACGCCAGAGCCAAGCCAGTCCGTAGCCACAAAGGGGACGACATCTCCATCGTTGGCCTTGGTCAGTATGGTTCCATACGTGAACATATACTACTTGTCTGAGTCGAATCATGTCGAATCTATCGGATCTATCGCTGCATTTGTTTCTGAATCTGCAGCTTTCGGCCACATCATGTCAGAGTGAACTCGTCAACTTTCTGCTCTGACCAGTGATCGTGCCAAAGCATCTTGCTGTTTCAATACCCACTCAATTCTGCCTAGTGAAGACTGGGCGAATCCAGCAGAAGGGGAGGTCCAAACAAAGAAGATTGCCATCTTGATTGTGCCACTACCACCTAGTGCCATCTTTGCCAAGGCCAGTTTTCATAGATCAGGGCTCAGCACAAGGAGCGATTCTCAAACACAAGAGTTTTCAAGAGGGTGACGAAGCCCCGATAAGAAAAAATGCGACACAAACACCTGTGGACTTGTGGATGTTCTCATTGAATTAGAAACACCGAATCTAACGACTCACGGCACGATCGGACACGATGGTTGCGATCGGTTGGCGATGCGCAAACCACCCTTGGGTGTGATGAAGCGGTCCATGGAGTCGGAAAACTTCCTGGCTGGCGGAGATGATCAGAGCTGGCACTTGTGAAGGAGACTTACTTGGAGACTCACGGGTTAAGATGAGGGGTCCTTCCCAGAACTGGTGGGCCAGCCACCTTCCTTGGGTACTAGTCACGGAACAAGACATGAGAAAATCTTAAGCCCTCTAGACTTTGAATTGAATATTAAAAGGTGAAGGACATCACACAAAAAAGATCCCCTTCCCCCCCTTGCGCCCACCATGCAACTCCATCACTCAACCTCTCACCTTCCCATCTCTCTCCCTTAGCCGCCCATCCTTCACCAGGCATCCACACCCACCACATGCACCTGTTTCTGTTGTCCAGCATGGGAGGTGTGCACTGCCAGTTCCAGGCCGCTGATAGCTGCCATGGCGCCGCCCAGGCTGTGACCCACAGTCAAGAGCCAGGACCAATGGCCAGCGAGCAAGAAATCCCGGAAGCTCTCCTGGCTTTTCGAGGATCGATGGCCCCAATTTTATCCCACGAGACAAAAGATTGACAATAAGTCAAGGATATTGCGAGATTGAACGAAAAGGAGGGGAAAAGGAGGGAAAAGGGAAGAAAAGAAGCGACAGCCACCAGGAAAGTCCGTGGACTTAGCCGCGCAACTTTCGTGGTCAAAAGCTCCTGTCAGTACTTGACAGATGTTGGAGGATCATGCGAAACAATTGAGGGCACCTGGTGTTTGCGGGGTCTTGAGATGGGAGGAGTCCTTAGATGGTAAGCCTAACAAACATAAGAGACAAAGAAGGTAGTTTCCAGCGTGCTGTGCAAACTAGTGCAACAAAAGCTTGTCGCGTTGATGTTTGGCCAGGCACAATGCACGCCCCACAAGGCTTGACCTGGCCTAGGACCCCAGGCTTTGCAGAAACAGGAACAAAAGCTTTCAAAGACTCACAGATGCAAGCCATACTTGTATATTTCACAAAAATTCGGATCCAAACCCTGTACCCAAGAGTGAATCCTGCATGCATGAACCAACATCTACCAGTAGTCTTGAACTTGTCTCAAAATGCGATACCCCCAACATTCCCAAACACCCCCTCAACATCCTGGCAGGTTGGCAAACATACCCAACAGGACCAGCGTGAGAATAACCACGCATAAGTCCATTGCTTCAAGGCATCCCATTTTTTGAGACACATCCATTTCTGATTGGGGAACAAATACATCCTCCCAGCAACCCCACCAGTCTTTGCTGCTTGGTGGCAGTGCCGGTCTCCACTCCCCGCCAGCGTTGTCTTCAACGGAGCCATCGGTGCAGCAGACATTCGCGCGCCCAGGCGCCGCTTGTGTGCCAAAAAGCCCCGATGGACCTTCACATCCTGGTACAGCGCCAATGCTAGCAAGTGCAGGCCGGTGCTCAAAGCAGTATGGAACATCCACAAATGGTCAAGAATGAACTATTATATTTCCGTGCTTTCTTGGGCCTACGTGAGCTTGCAGTCCCACAAGGAAATCTAGATGACTGCAGCTCCTGCAAACTCCCTAACATCGCTCTGACCCACAGGTACAAATCTGACTTTAACTCTACTGGTACGAGCTAGGCAGCATGCCTCATGCAGAGCTCCTTCATCTCCACATTTTGGCAGGATTATGGTTCACGCATGGTCATTTTGATCTTCACTTCCTTTATATAACTCAACAAACTGATGATACCAAGTGCCCTTAGCGGAAGACAGAAATGTCCAGACGTTTTTAAGCTCTTTCGATACCTTCAACAGGAAGATCACCCCTAAAATGATTCAATGCCATCATCCATAGTTTTTTGCTGGTTATCTTGTTCTGGCCCTTGTTGGCTTTCATTTCATCGTCTTTCAACTCCGGGCTCGTGGGAAACATGGATCTGGGCAAGGTGCCCATGTTGGCTTTCCTCGGCCCAGCGGAGGTTAATGTCAGCGGCTCCGCTTCACCTCTACAGTACCGCTTCTCAGCATGTTCTGTTGGATAGATCAACAACAGGCAACCGGGGGATTCACCAAAAAACATGTGCGCCCGGTTTTTGTTGGCTAAGCATTTCGCGGCGGAGACATGGTAACATGCAATCGTCAAAACCATAAAATACGCCATTGCCATACCTGCAGAGACAGCAAACATTGCCATGTGAGTTAATGTTCCGATCAGTTTCTGTTAGGTCCTGTGCCAGCTATGCTGCAAATATGTTACCTCCAACTGCAGCTCAACAAATTCAAAGCAACAGACTCCAAACAGCGTGTCAGCATGCCCAGCTTTGGCTACTGCACTTTTCTGTAAAATCGCAAGTCGCCAAATATAGGCAGGTACTGTAACCATTCCAGCGAACCATGGCTGCCGCCAGGGCAAGCTGCCACTATTGTCCAAACACCCTAGACGCCAACAATCAGGGCCCCCTACATGGTATATATTTTTGGTGAAGAGCAACAGTTTAAGCATTCACCGCGAAAGGCTCTCCCACAGTGGCCACCACCTGCTCATTTGGACAGCCTTTATCCTTACCTAGGCTTATGATATGTTGCCAAGATAGATTCTGCATGATTTTGCGACTCCCTGCCCGTCCATCTTCAATCAAGACTCAACTATTGTCAAGTAGTGACAGGAGCCATATCTGAATCTCAACACCGAGAGCCGAGAGTCCAATCAGCTAAGTTCGTGGAGCCTTTGTAGCTCAACACGATGCCAACCCCAGGCCCTTTGGGCCCTTGCACCTTGAAGAGATATGCCACCAGGTGGGCTGCGTCATCCGTCCTGACAGGCTCTACTGTGAAGGCGTGCTTTGGGATGCTTTGAGTTCCTCGCTACACACGCTGAAGTTGCAAATGTGTCAAACCAGGTGTGAGGTGGTGAAGAGGAGCTGGATCTGCATGTTTGCCGGTGGCGAACCTGCTATTTATTCTATATATTGTATTCCTTGAGCATACTCATGGACCAACAAAGTACTGATAACCATACCACTGAAGGAAGTGAACCTGCACCACCTCAGGCAAACAATGTAGGTGACTACATTGATCTGCCGTTCTACAAAGAGTTCCAAGCGGCGCAGAACTTGTTTTGCAAATAGAGGTCATATAAAGGTCATACAAAGTCTTTTGCTCTCCACTCACCCCTTTCTAGAAGCTTCAAGACAAACTTCGCCTAAACCTGGGTAAAGTCATACAAATCAAATTCCACACCCAAGCACAGCCCCAACAAACAATATCAATGAATAGATATGAATAGCTTGTTTGCTTTGCTAGCACCAGGGTTTGACTGACACAGGGCTGGCGACGAACAGCTTCATCCAACTGCTCTCCGGGTCTCCGGAACTTGTGGCGAAAGCTCGTGAACTGCAGCTCAAGCATAGAGACCTGCTTTTCTGTTCCCCTTAACTCATGATATGACAAGCCCTTGCCATCATTTCGCCCATATGCCAACATCGCCAATCGCAAAGAGGTCCTGCCACTGGTCAAACGCTTCGGTGGCCTGTTGTTGGAGGACGTTGATTCCCACTAAAATGATTGACCGTGTCCGTTAGACTACTGTAAGTACTCTTGGCAGTGTTCAGGAATGCTATTTTCCATGAAGGATTACTTTCTCATCATGAGTCGTATTGGATTGCTAAGAAACAATCGAGCTTGGGCTTGGCCAGGCTTCGAGGAATTGAGTGCTGAAAACCTTGTTCAAAGAGGAGTAGGAGAATACCACCGCAACGATTGCCCGACAAAAGGTACCTGGACATACCAGGTCTTCCGACACCGTGAACCCAATTCTGAAACAAAGGTTTTTTGTCGTCGGGGTTGTGCTTTGGTGGTGTTCCGATGAACAGCATCAGGTGTCCAAGCTCCAGTGGTCTACATAAGAGAGGAGTGGGAACTTGCTGGCAAGGTCGCGGGCCCATCATGAAGAACGTATTCAAATCGGCAACCCCATGAACCCAAACCTATGAGAAAACAGCCCATTTGTCGTGGTGGTTGCGGGAAGATTTGCAAACAATCATTGGATTTGCGTGTGCGGGGTGCGTTGTCGCTGTTGCAATGCCAATCAAGTTGAGGGCTCACCACCTCCATCAACCACACTTGCAATAGCTTGCCCGCTCCCGAGGCCGCAGCCATGTCGTGTCCCCCAGTTCCTAAGAATGAAGCCTTCTGCTTGAGTGAGGTTGGTGCCGAGCGTATTCTCATGGATCTCCTGTAGCTTCTCATTGAGCTCGGTGATCTCCGAAACACTGGGAATCGTGACTGTATCCTCAAAAGAGGCATGGCGTGGGGTCGGGATCGCCGGAAGGAAAGAACGGCCATTCTTATAAAGTCTGCGCCCCACCCGTTCCAAATATATTCTTCCAAGTCCTCGTGGACCAACAAGATACATAGCAGCATATCCCATATCCTCGTAAAGTGATGTAAAGTGTGTCTTTCAAATTCTTTTAAAGTACTATTGCACATGTTTTGCTCATTCAAGCTTTGGCAGCACAAATTGTCGGGCTCTTGTCGGCAAACAATCCACGCCGCTGTTTGGAATTTGCAAGACTGAGCTTGGTGCACTTCTATTACCTTCTAGTAACTGCATTTATATACGTACCAGCTGTGTGACATATATCATAGACCATTGCCATGATGATTCCTAAATGCCCAATCCCCATAAATTTGTGGATGATCAACACTCTGGAACCCAATCAGCCGAGCGTCATAGTAATAGACATCGCAAGTCTTGTCCTTTCGGCATCCTTGTGTCATTCCACTCGAAGTACCACGCCTTTGGCCGTTCTCCATGGCGGAAGCCGAATTGTGTAGCTCGCGCGTGCGGGCGCTGTGACTCTCCGGAATCAAAGATGCGAGGCTGAGGAAGGCATAAATACCTAGGTCACATCAATGAAGCGCAAGTCTAGATCCTCGAAGACTAACATGAACCCTGGCAATGGAAGCATGGATTTAACATGATTTAATTGATGATTATATATATTTATTTGTATATATGCAAGAACCATATTCCGCGTGAACATCTGCTTGCACTGGAAGGTGTTCCTCGATGAAGTGATGATGGCTTCAAAGTTTCCCCTGCCGCCCACGTGATTGAGGTCAAGTCAATATGGATCTATATTTTGCCTAAGGTTTTTTCAAAGTCACAGTTTGCCAAGGCTTGAGACCACATCCACGCAAAGGTTTTGGACAATTTGGGGTCTCGTGCAAGGCCTGCGTTTACTTAGTGCAGAAATCAGAATCACCAAGAACGCAAGTTCATACAACATGTAAATGTTGAAAAAGGGCGCCCCTTCGCCCATTCCCTCCGGATTTTGCTTGACCCATTCCTGTGCCTAGGGACGCAGCATCTGCAGGTTCACAGCTTCACAAACCACGTGCAGGGCCCAAACAAAACATGTCAGCGCTTCCAAGCCTTCTGGCAGATCGCTCGGGCCAAGATGCAACTGAACTAAAGCTAGTAGCAAACTAGCTGAATTTAAGGGCATCCTGAACCGACCCAAGTTCAAATATGAATAAATGCCGTTGGAGGAGAGCCAGTGCATCTCCACCGAATGGGGATAAACAGCGAATGGGTTGTGGTTCAAATTTCCTCTGCCCAGTGGTTCTGCTCCTCTATATATATCTTGAGGCACAACCAAACCAGGGCCGTTTGACTCTAGCCTCTCTTGATCTTCAAGGAAACTACCCCAAGTTCTTTCGAATTTTTGAATGTAAATTCCAACACAGCCCCAGCTGACTGGCCCTAGGCCTGCTAGCTGCTAGGTGCCGGGCTAAGCCCTCAGCAAAGTCCCGGAAGAGTTCGAGCCTTCGGAAGAGTTCCTGAGCAACAGGCTGGACCACGCAGCTGCCCAGGGTATATCATCAGAAATCCGGATCAAGCAAAGGGAGCCCCAAAAGGTTGAAAGGATTTGAAAGGTCCGGATGTCCAATTCTTCATCCACACAGTGTATTTTTGTAAGGAACGGTGTCTCGGGCGTGGAAGTGGGACAGCTGGTTTGGTGGCCCAGAAGCGCTGATGCTTTTACTGAACTACGTCACCTTTTTTCCCCAAGCAGTGTGGCAACGCTAGGGTTTCTTATGGTACAGTAGTAGTTAAGGGCCGGTGTTGAGTCGAGATCGTGCAACGGGGCCTGTGGCTAATAATTCGTTGCTATTTACCGTGCATTCATTCCTCTCGAAATCCTCGAGGTGCACTTCGATTGGGCAGGCTCGCAAAATCTGGTTGTCCACGGCGGGTGCTTGTGGCGACTTTCGGACATGGTGGCCACTTGTCGTGGCAGGCGCAAGGGAATCCTCGTGCTTTGGAGATCCAAAGTCGGCCTTTCGTGACAGGTGCAAGGGATCGGAGCGGTTTTACTTCGATGTGTAGATTGCGTGCCAGGCGCAGCACTTTGGGCATGGTGGTAATCTTCGAGGCGCTCTGATTTCTTGACAAGTGCAGTGCATCGTGACTTTTGGACATGTGGCTCGTTTTCAGGAATCGTGGCAGGTGCAGTGCTTTGTGGACCTTGAAATGCACATTTCATAGCAGGTGCAGTACTTTGTGGACCTTGAAGTGGAGATTTCGTGGCAGGCGCAGCACTTTGTGAACCTCGAAGCGCAGATTTCGTGGCAGGCACAAGTCTTTGTGAACCTCGAAGTGCAGATTTCCTGGCAGGCGCAGCACTTTGTGCACCTCGACGCTCTTGATCTCAAGACCTCTAGATCGCATTCTGTGCCATCTGACGTGTGCTCTCAGATATGTTCTGATGATTGTGCTCTCATATGTATGCTCTGTAGACCTCGACCTCTAGATCTCCAGACCTCGCAACTCTACCCTTGAGACTTTTATTGTTGCTTCCGAAGCACTCGGCCTAGATCTCTTAATTCCTTTGATCTCTTTAGACCTTCAGATCGTTCTCTCGCTTTCTAAATTTGTAGACCTCTAGACCTAGAGACCTCTACAACTAACTGCCTGGATCTAGGCCCCTAGGCAGATCTCTCTCTCTCTCTCAATCTCTACTTGGATCGCTTTCCCGACCTCTCAACCTCTGTCGCCTAGAGAATGTTGTTTCTAGGCCTCTAGAAGTAGAGATTGTTTCGTTCTTTTTGGCAATTTCAACTTGCATGCTCTTTTTCGCCTGAAGTCATATGTTTTGCAATTGCGCTCTCATATCCTTTTCCCTCTACTTTCTCTTCCCCTGTGATCGTGGGCGCTTTACCTCGGACGACTTTCTCATCTACTTTCTCTTCCCCTGTGATGGTGGGTGCTCTACCTCGGACTCGTCCTTTCGAACTTTGCACTGTTTGGGGTCTCTTGACTCTTGCCGGGATAGTTAGCTTATATGATATGTACATACTGTAAACAGTCAGGGCAATGGCAGGGAAACTCACAATAGAAGCCACTCAAGAATGCACACATACCCACGGCATTGACTAGCTTGATCAACCAAGGCTGCAAAGTAGGGAGGGCGCAATTTGGATCCATCAGTCTAGACGGAAATATTCAATCAATCCCTTTGGTTGGAGAATCCAACAACTTACCTCACGAAGGCTGTGCAACTTCCAAAACACAATCAAGTTGCACATTAGGACCAGTGCTTGCCTTGCTATGCTGAGGGTGATCACCGCATGTCGTCGACTGCAAAAAACTGCAAAGGCCAAATACCAATTTGGTTGGATGGTCCACACACTTTATGGATCTTAACTGGGTTTCCTCTTCAGCCGCGCGCGCAACGCCTCGCCTCTGGCCGAACCTCCTCTGAGACAATCTGAAGTTCCTGGGAAGTGAGGTGGAAGGGACGGATGATATCAACATTGTGTTGAGGCAAATGGTAGTGGAATGTGTTGAAAGAAATTGGGAGGCAATTTGGGTAATATAGCGGGTGTCCAAAACAAGCCTTTTGTGTCCTCAGAGAAATCATCTATCAGCTGTGGGGGTGAACCCGGTAGTGTGTCAGCACCCCATTCAGTGTGTGGAATACTGTTTGCGAAGCGTTCGACCAAGAACTCAAACTTTGAACAACAAAGCTTGAACTAGATAGTTATTGCTGGTGACCTTCTCCATCCACCAGCATCTTCATTTTTTCAACTATAGGATGTTGGAGAAGTATAAATGTAGAAGAAACCCAGCTGGAACATCTTGAAATGACAATTGTCTTGTAGAATGACAAGTTAAAATAGAGTTTCTCAAGAGGTGGGGAGAGACTTCCCAACCTAAAAACATAGCCTTCGCCCAGGTTCTTTGAAGCTGAACCCCCCGAGCACGCAGCTGCCGCAGGTATCTGATGCATGCAGCTAAATTGCGAGTTCGATGCCTAATCTTCAACCTTTCCCTCCGCCATTGACCCCCTCGTTCTAGTGGTGCGGTCACAGTCCTGCCGCTGCTGAAGTCGGCAGACTAAGTCGCCCATCTGGCATCGAATGGATTCAACCAGATAAACATGCCTCCACTTTATGATATTTTGAATCAACCTGTCTTTTTCCCGAATGCGTAGCGAAGGGTTCTCGTTACTGGTTTAACTCTGGGGTGTGAGTCTGGGGGTAGAGCCTTGTTCGCGACTCGTTGTCTCAGGGTTCGCAACCGTCCGCAACCGTTTGCCGCCGTTCGCGGTAGGGCGCTAAGGCGCTGCCATTGGTCTTGTCGCGCACTCTTGTGGGCCCTCTTGCGCAACACTCTTGGAGGACTCTCTTGTGGGACACTCTTGGGCACTCTTGTGGAACACTCTTTCCGAACAGTCTTGTAGGACACTCTCTAGGAAACTCTTGTAGGACCGTCTTGTCGGACACTGCGGACCCCCCTCACAGGACACTCTTGTATGTCACTTTTGTGGGACACTCTTGTGTGTCACTCTTGCGGGACACTCTCGTAGGACACTCTTGCGGGACACGCGCTCTTGTGGGACATTCTTGTGGGACACTCTTGACACTCTTGTAAGAAACTCTTGTCGGACACTCTTGTGGGACACTCTTGTGGGACACTCTTGTGGGACACTCTTGTGGAACTCTGTAGGACACTCTTGGGGGCTCTGTGGGGGACTACTAAAGTCTGCAAAAGTCAACCTCACGTCTGCAGAATGAGCGTTTCGTACGAGACTTCCTCCAAAAGTCACACGTCAAGTCTCAGAAACGAGCGTTTCGTACGAGACCTCCTCCAAAAGTTACATGTCAAAGTCTCCAAAACGAGCATTTCGTATGAGACTTCCTCCAAAAGTCAAGCGGCAAGCTCCATCGGAGCACACACATCAAGCAGCCCTGCCAAGCAGTTTTGCGATTCCAGCCCCTCCAAACAACACCCGCGCACACGCCAATCCCAATGTCACAGCGACATTCACCTCCACCACAACTCGCAACCTCACGATTCCCTGCGCCTGCCACGAAAACTTCGTCCACACGTCTAACGCGCACAAAGTACTGCGCCTGCCATGAAAATCGCACTTCCACACCTCAAAACCACCACAAAGTACTGCGCCTGCCACGAAAAGTGACAATATCATATCATGTGAGCTTCAACAAAATTTGCACCGCAGACACCACATGTTTGGAATGATTTCGACACGTTTTGAGCACACTCCCATCCACCAAAGTCACCATTTGAGCTGAGACTGTCATGAAAGCACAGCTTCGATGCAACACTCTCAAACGCAAATCCCAATGTCACAGACACATCCAACACTCCAAAAACACCACTCGCCAAACGCTAATTCCAATGTGACTACGCAGAACACTGAAACCTCACAAAACGCTGCGTCTGCGCAGTGAAATCATCCTCCACACTTCAACATCAACATCTTATGTTTCCACACGTTTCTTCGCTATTTCACACGAATCTGACACGTCACGCTTCCATGCAAAACCCTCTCCAAAAGCTTCCCCACTGCCCAACAAGAGTGCCCCACAAGAGTGTCCTAGGAGAGTGTCTCACAAGAGCGACACACAAGAGTGTCCCACAAGAGTGTTTCGCAAGAGTGTCCTACAAGAGTGCTCCGCAAGAGTGCCCCGCAGGAGTGAGTGTCATACAAGAGTGTCCCAGAAGAGTGTCCTACAAGAGACTCCCGCAAGAGTGCCCCGCAAGAGTGTTCAACAAGAGTGTCCTACAAAAGTGCCTCACAAAAGTGTCCTACAAGAGTGTCCTGCAAGGATGTCCCACAAGAGTGTCCCGCAAGAGTGTCCTACAAGACTGCTTCGCAAGACTGTCCTACAAGAGTCCCCCACAAGAGTGACACACAACAGTGTCCGACAAGAGTGTCCTACGAGAGTGTCACACAAGAGTGTCCCAGTCCTAAAAGAGTGTTTCGCAAGAGTGTCCTACAAGAGTGAGCGTCATACAAGGTATCCCACAAGAGTGCACAAGAGTGTCCCACAAAGGTGTCTGAAAAGAATGTGTCCTACAAGAGTGTCCCGCAAGAGTGTCAAAAACTGTTTGGGTGTTTGTTTTCGAGTACGTGTTTGCATTCGGGTTCGTGGGTTCCATCTTGTTTTGTTTTGTGCACGAGTGTTGCTGGTTCGGGTGGTTCAAATCCATCAACTTGGTTACATTGTTCTGACCTGTGATTAGCCAAGGATCTATGCATTTGATCCATGAAGGCTCACTGCTTGAAGCTCGACCATTATGACTTCATGGTTCCAAAGAACAACGTAAACCGTCCAGCATGTGCACATTTCACCACCCCGCTAAACTGCAGAAAAATCCGGCTTGCCTCTTCCACTAACTGGGCCACACTGGCTTCCTGGAGATGTGAGCTGAGGTGAGGTGATATTTTTAGTGACTTGGTGAACATACAAATGAGCACACAAGTTCCAAGAGGATAACAATCAAGTGCAAAGTAAGAGTGGCTAGAGTGTCTCCCTTTACCAACGGCCAGCTTTCGTGCATCGCATGCGTCACCCATGTAAGTATGTAAGGAAGTCCAGCTCCTTTACATTAGAGGAACCAGCCACCCGCAAACGCTATAGTGGGTTTTGCTCCACCCTGGGTCAGCGAGTCATTTCATGTACAGTACTCCCCTTCTCAAGTTCCGTGGATTGCGATCGTAGAGCTACACACACAATACCGACACCTGCCACTTTAGCGGAGGATGTGCTCTACCTTGAATGGTATTTGGGCCCGCGCTAAATAACATGTGCCCTAATGTGCCACTGCTGGCGCCCTAAGTCTTGCCTGCGATTCTGCATTGCCAGTGCCCTCCTGCAAAGCCAGTGGATACAAAGGACTCGCATGGAACCTTCCGTGAGAAAAAATCCAAACAACTTCTGTGCCTCCACCTCATCCAAACAATGTTCAGGCCACACTCCACTGTTTGGATTGTTTGGATTGCTTGCATATCCACTGCAGGTTGCAAACGCACGCAGAAAGAAGAATCCTCTGATAAACTCTCAACATATTTCAGCCTACTCTATTGTTTGTGTTGGTAGACCTGAATGACCCCTTTTGGACAGCTCCGCCTCATCTCCAGGGGCTGGGTCGCCTGAAGGGCAAAAGCACCGTTGAATATCCCGGTCCTGAAATGGACTCATATGTATGTGTTTTCATTTACTGTAACCGCCACATTGTCCCACATTTGGGCCCTGCAGCTACGCGGGTCCTATGTGCCTGATGAAGCTTGTAGGGCCAGTCTCCGAAAGGCGCTCGAAAAACTAAGGAAAGGTACAAACATTGGCATGACAAAAAAGCGCTGTCTTAGGATTATCCATTTTGTATTTGATTTCATCACTCCTGACACCTCATGACTCCTTTCAGGTTGTCTTTAAACTAGACTCTACCACCTTCCATCCTACTGCCAAGTACCTGATTCCCCACCTGGCTCCGGCAGGTCCATCTGGGGTGGCTGGAAGGGATTCAGCTGGGCCTCAGTTCCACAAAGCGTGCATAGCTTGGTCTTCGGTTGAACCAAACATGTCAACAATCTGTCCCGTGCATCGCATGCACGAATCACGCACGTACACAAAAAAGTTATTTCCACCTCTTTTTTCCCCCTAAGGCCCTAGTAAGAAACTCCCGTGTCGTTTAAGAAAAGATGTTCCCACAAATAGGGGGACCCACAAAGACGGGGTCTTACTTAAAACTCTTTACAGCATTGTACAACACTTTTCATTAAAATAGGAGTTCTTCGATGCACCTACATGTAAACTTTCTATCAAGCTAGCAACAAAAGATTTTGAAAGGTGATGTCGCCGTGCCATGCGGTTTGTCGAGGCCTCCGTGGAAAGTGCGTTTGTGTTGCTCCGTGACATTGGGGAAGGGTGCACATGCGAGTGTAAATGCGCCGTGTCGCTGGTGAGGGGCACGATAGGTGGTGATTCTAGCGGGTGGGTACCTAATAGAGTCCACCAACATAGTATTGGGAGCATTTTACATCATTTTACCGGTAGAAATCAAAGGGTGCAACTTAAAAAACAAAAGGAACCTGCATTCACAATTGTCCGACATGCGGTTTTTCAACTTGTAAACATATATATATATATAAATACATAATCAAATTGTTATTAGGTAGTGTTTCTTAGGTGCTCAGGATTAGACACTTAGGCATCCCGTTTGACATGTTTGATTCCACCACATATGAAATTCTGAAGTCTGCTGTACATGGCCAAAACTTACATGGCAAATGTTCGACTGTCAATCTCAGCGCAAAAATATGGCGTCAAATTTCCTTCCAGGGTACAATTTTGACGAACATGTGCCAGGATCCACCATCATGTAAGATCCTACCGAATTGGGGGCAACTTGGCAACTCTCAAACCTCAACAAGCACAAACTTTGTCACGGTGTTGTCGATCATATGAACCATATGGTTCCAAGATGAAACTGCACAGGGCTTTACGTCACATAACTTCAGTTGATTTGCTGAAATTTGATCATGCCCAGCAGCAATGAGGGGTGAAAACATGGCCTTCGGCGAGGAGCCAAGTGCCTGGGAGGAAACATTATCCAGGGTTGACATTCACCACAAAATCTCAGCAGGTGGATGTCGATGAGAACTATGCATGTCGAAACTCAGGAGATGGACATCCTCGCGAAAACGGTTCAGCACATATTTCGCTTGGTCAAGGCAAGGGCAAATAAATACAATCTTTTGAGGGCTGGAACCTCGACATCTTCACGCTGAGTGCATCGGCCTCGGAACTTCTGCGGCTTATGGAGGGCTGGCCGTCAGACTCGAAGTCGGGCAGCCCCTTGGCTCGGAATGGCTCTCAGCTGACGGACGTTTCTGGGGACCCATACCTCAGACTGGTTTTCCAAATTGAGTCAAATGAGGTGCGCAAACAGATTGAATGTTTGGCTTGGCGCTGCAAATTACATCCAGGCACTACAAACCATGAATATGCTGCGCGTATTCGAGCAATGCCACGCTCTTATAAGTAGGCGAACTGTCAGTGTGATGTTTTTTCAAGCGAAACTGACTATGAATCGATCACAGGACAGTTGCTAATGCATGTCGGTGCAGCAACACAGGACCAAACTGAGATGGTTTGCATGGAGGGCTCGCCATCTAATTCATTTTCTCACCGTTCGTCGAAAGACTTGCGTGATGGAGGTTCGTCCCAGCATCCTCCAAAAACCACAGGTTTGTTTCCTTACTTTACCCGGCGAACCAACCCAGAAAACCATCTATATAAGTATATATATATATATATATATGGGAAATCAATAATCGAAGATGGTTCAGGACCACATTATGTACTTACTGCAAATTCGAAGCGCAAAACACCTTTATGGTTCGGGCCTAAAGGTAGCTGGTATGTGTGCCTGTGCCTCATGGTGTGTCACCACGCAAATGATGAAGATCATCCAGGGCCATTCGCTGCCATGATCTTGTTGTTCTTGACTTTCGCCTGCAGCCTCATGGTCATTTCCTTTCAAACTCTTCTTCGTTCCTTTTCGCGTGCGCCCTCGATGCTCCAATTCGTGAAATTCATCTTCTCCCACACGGTCACCAATGCTATGCACCATCTTGAGCACGTAGAGCTAGTCCAAAGAGTCTTCTCTTGTTGAGGTTCTTTGTTCCAACGCCTGCGCAGCTCAACTCCACCTTTTGGGCTCTCACACATGACTCCATCAGGCTGCCATCGATGAAGATCTGAAAAGATGTGATACTCTTTCGGTCGTTCCTGTTTCCCGCATAGTGAGCATCTGTCACCGCTTCTATTAGATGCTTTCGTTTCTCTCCTCTGCTTCAATCTCACCCCCTGTGTCCATGACTGATGGTCCTCTCTCTTCCTGAACCCAACTCGCGCTCCAAAGCTCCTGTGCCTTGCAGGTAGGATCAAGCAGGACAAGCAGTCTTCCATGCGTGTGGAATCAGGTCAGCCCCAGTTTTCGATGGCTTGTAGTGTGGATGGTACCTGGTACAGCCTCGCAAGCTTGTTTGGCGACGGTAGCTTATCTGTTGTCTCTTGAATTGTTCTTGTCGTTGTTTATGGAACGCACCTTCCTCAATCTCCTCTTCCATGCTTCTTCTCTTTTCCTTCTTCTTCAACTTCAGGCTCTCTTTTCTCATGACTTTTCCTCGGTGACTCTGTTGCATCCAGCTTCTTCTTCTCTGGGCCATCCTCTGTAGTCTCTGCTGGTCTCTTTGCCCAAGGCGTTGTAGGCATTGGCGCTGCTGTTGCTGCTAGACCTGGAGTGGTAGGCTGTGGGCGTAGTCCAGGTGCAGGAGTCATCCGTAATTGCTTTCATTTCCTCCTCTCTGTTGCTTCATTCTGGAGTGTTGGTTGTCTGTATTGTTGGGCTTGTCCTCCATGCTTCATCAGGGTCCTTTGGGGGCTATAACTCCACGCTTGGCCACCACAATGTCCGTTGCAATGAAGGATGCGTCGGAAGGTAATTCTTCGAATGGTTCTGCCTCGTATGCGCCCTCTGGTGTCAACATTACAGGGTTGTCGTTCGATTCCCACTGTGCTTGCCAACCCGGACACTACGTTCAAAGATATCGCTTGCATTGTATTTGACCAGTTTCTTGAACATCTGATTTGCCAAGCAGAGCTCGCTTGCCACTGTATCCATGTCCCGTAGCTGGCTCAAAACTGGCCTTGCCCATCTTCTCCACTACACGGAACCTGTTCAGCAGGAAGCCAGCGTAGCGAAATGCCTTAGGGGTAAATGCACAGATTCTGGGCCCTTGATTCAGCAAAACTATGAATGAGTCTTCGAATGTTTTGCACTGCGTGCGTGTTCGGCTTGTCATTCGAAGAATGTTGATTGCTGCCGCCTGCCTCACCTCACATGGAAATCCGATTACTGCCCGTACCTGCTCACCTCAACATTTGCCATATAGCACGCTCTGAATCTCCTTGAAGCACGCAGGCATCCATGGAGGCGTTCTCAAAGGGCACCTCCTCGGTCACTGTCTTTCGGCTTGCAATTCCCTTCGACAACAAGTTCTCCAGTGTTTTCTTCCTTTTGCTCACGCGTGTCCTCCTTTGCTCTCGTTGTAATCAAGGCCTGGCACCAAGGAGCATATGGAAGATGAATCACGAAATATGGCTCAGGGTTGGTAGCTTCAGCTGTCCTACAGCTTATGCCCTCTGTGTTGCTCCTGGCGCAGCTTGCTTGCATGCAATGGACAGCTGCGTCGGTGTTCTCCACGCTGATCTTGAAGGCGACCAGCCTATCCAGCAATCTCCTCTTGCTGCCGCTGCAAGGGTAGCTGCCTTTCCCTGCATGCAAGCTGCAACTCCTTCACTGACATCTTGTCTGCGTAGATGGTCTCGTCCAACCCTACTTCCTTGGGCCGCTGTGCCACCACCACGTCCACTTGGATCTCCAACTGCTCCTCTTCTTCTTCTTTGTCATCTTCAGGCCAGTCGGCCCTTCCCTGTGGTTCCCTTGTCTTCTCTTCTGGTAAGGGTCGCGCCGATACCTCAGAATCTGGATCTGAGCAATCCTCCATCAATGATGGCCATGGGCTCTCCAAGACTCCTCAATCTGACCTCGTGCCTGTGGATCAGCGACGGTTGTGGCCACCGGATCACTGTAGGCCAGCAACTAAGTGCTTCACATACCTGGTCAGGCTGCCACGGAGAACTAGTGTTCTTGCAGGCCCCTTCTCGTTCTCCTCTTTCTGGCATCATCTCCTTGCGCTGACACCTTAGCTTCCCACGCACTCGTCAGTGTCGACCAATGCGGTGGATGTACCGCGCCTTCCACTTGCTATGTAGGGCCACCGCGCCTGGAGGTTGGTAGTAGCAGGCTTCCTGAACCAGTGCGTCACCAGCGCCACTGCAATGCAACTCAGTAGGATCAACTTCGCTAATCAAAATGAGATAGGCTGGGCACTTGCTTGCGGCCACAGCTCCGCCATGCAAAGCGCAAAACGCTCTTATCGCTCGGGCCTAAAGGTAGCCGGTACGTGTGTCTGCGCCTCATGGTGTGTGACCGGTTGTTTCCTGTGGATTGGTCTCGTTTCCAAACAGCAAGCCCACAAAAAACATAGGAAATTGCAGAGCATTAAACATGCCGAACACAAAACGCCATAACTCTTGCTCCTTCCACCATGGTCGTCTAGAACAATCCGTGAAAACCAAGGGCCCATGCTTCCATTCAGGGTGTGTCTTTAGAGGCCATTTTGAGGACGGCTGAAAGAGAACCCTCCAGGGATTGGTTCAAGTTCTATGTTTCTTTTCAAATTGTACATTTGTTGGTCTGACGTGTCGTCAAGGTACCAGTTTGGCTGCGTCAACACGGCAGCCACCGGCAAAGGCCCCGCCACCGCCGCCCTGACGGAGGACCACAGGTTGCCAGAAGAGTGCCGGGCATGGTCGAACAAGGAAGAAAGAACATGTTGATGATGTTTAAGGTGAAGTGCACGAATAGATAAACAGTTTACCATTGGGGTTCTCTCCTAGAAAAACAAGAGCTGGCCACACTGGCTGGCCGCGCCCCTGAACTCTGTGTCCGGGCTCTGTGTGCGGGTTTTGTTTTCCTCTTCTCCTTCTCTTGTCCTGCTGTTGTCCTCTGTGTCTGGGTCTTGTTCCCCAAACAGTTTACGGTTGGGATTCGAAAAAAGGGCTGGCCACACTGGCTGGCCGCGCCCTTGAACTCTGTGTCCAGGCTCTGTGTCCAGGTCTTGTCCTCCTCTAGTCCTCCTCTTGTCCTGCTGTTGTCCTCTGGCCGCGCTGGCCAACCCTGTGTCCTCCTCTTGCCCTCCTCTTTTTGTCCTCTGTTGCCCTCATGTCCTCCTGCTGTCGCTGCTTTGCGAGGCAGGGAACAACAATTCTTACCGACTAACCTGTTTGGGGTCTATGCTGGTATGACTTTCCCAAGTGCGTAGCGAAGGGTTCCTGTTTACAGAGTTTACAGTTTGGGGTCTTGGGGCTGGACCTGTGTTCGTGCTTGGCTGGGTTGTCGGATTGCCGCGGCGACCGCTGTTCGACAAAAAGTTGCTGCCGTTGGGGCAAATGTTTGAACGCGTTTTTGGATGGACACGGCGACGTATCCGATTCGTGTGAAACGGTGTGGAGGGGTGATGAAACAAAAGGAGCGTATGTGAGTCATTAGCGATATAGTGAAACTTCAACAGGTTCAACATGATATACAGTAAAAGAGAACACATGCAAAGACATTCAGAAGTAAATTATGCCTTACGTGACACTGGTTAATCAAATGCTGTGGTCAGAGTGTTCATCCTCAAATATTCACTGCGTCATGCTATGAGGAGGGCTGTTCAAATGCTGTGACCAAAGCAGATGGTCAGCCCAGATTCATTGAAAAACCCTTGCCCCAACATAGATCACCACCGTCATGACACACTTGGCGGGCCTCAACAAGTTGACGATTTGTCTTTGTTGTGGTCTATGAAAGTGCCCCACTGACAAACGGTGTCCAAATTGTTGGCTCAGTTTTTGCAGGTGGTATGCCAACTGGATTATGACCGTGCTTGACTGATGTGACCTCAATACTTGCAGCCAGTCATACGCCAGAAAAACGGGACTTACAAACATACTGGACTTACAAACATAGTTCTGTGTTTTTGTGCTGGCCTGGCTTTGGACAAGTCAACTGGAAAAAATATTTTGGGTGAAGGGTTTTGGTGTGACATGTTTAGCAATACAGTAGTGTCAGTAACGCAACTAGTTTCTTATTTGGTCGGCCTGAGCCTTTATCAATGTGAAGAGAGGGCTGCCTGTGCCACGACACCTGCACATCGAAGTAAACTGGCTCCTATCCTCTGCACCCGTGACTAAATTGACTCAGACATTCTCTGGCACCTGCCCTGAAAAGTAACCACCAAACCTGAAAACGTGCGCGGCAACACAACCAGAGCGCAGTTGAGAAAGGCACCCGCTCGGGCTCAGCAGTTTGCGCAAGCCTGCACCCTCGAAAGGCACTCTGAAGATCTTGCAGGGCATGAATGTACCATAAACAGCAGCGAATTGCTCAGCAAATTATTTTGCTCCCCATGCGGGGAGCCTAGGCTTAACCACCACTGTAAGAACCCTAGTGACCCCAGTGGTTTTACTAAGTTGAAATGAGATGGGCTTTGGGCTTTGTACATTGATCATGGAAAAACTGAAGTCGTATCTCATGCTTCCAAAAGCATGTATTGGAAGCACATGCAAATCCGTTTGATTGAAACCAGCGAAAGCATACAGAGTCAGGAACATTAGAGATCACCTCGGGTAAACTGAGGCCAGCCATTGTTTTGGTGCGCGGAGAGTGGTGTCATAGGGCTTTGTGTAGCGCAACTCGTTTCTCTGTCTCTCTCTCTCTCTCTCTCTCCTCTGTGCGGCCTTAGCTCTCTCACTGCCTCTCATATCTCACCATTTTGACTTTCGCATAGAAGTGGCACTTCATGCGGGGGCAATCCATGAACTATCTTATACAGTATACAGTCTTTTTGTATGGAAAGTACCACCTTTTTGCACACCGGAGACAGACTGATGGTCAACAGGCACAGCAGCCCTATCTCATCTAGACTCAGACCGAGTATACAACGTTGTATGGGAAAAAGCAGTGTGACACAAGAATGTCCTACAAGACTACAAGTGCCCCACAAGAATGCTCCACAAGAGCGTCCTACAAGTGTGCCCTACAACAGTGTCGCACATGAATGTGCCACAAGAGTGTCCTGCAAGAGTGCCCCCGAAAAGCCAGAAAGGGACGCTGTCAGGCCCCCCCAAAATACACGTTCCTGGAAATACATTGAATTATAAACATGCATTATATTATCTTTATATACAGCAACTAGATAGTAATATTAGCTCTTTTTTGGCTGATCGTAATCAACAAAAAATCTAGCAACGAGTACAAAAGTACAACCTGGATCGATAGAAAAAGCAAGGGACGCTGTCTCTCTAAGAAAAATCAGACTTCTCCAATGAAAACATCCATAAGGTGTAGCAAACTAGGAGCCTTTGGCAAAGGCTGGGACGAGGGGTCGACAAAAAAAGAATGGGTCGACCCCCCTCCAGATTAGGAGTATTTGGTAAAGGCCAGGAGGGGGGTCGATCGACGAAAAGAAACACGGTTCATTTCTTTTTGCGGTCGACCCCTCTCCCAAGGAACTGACTTCCGTAAAGCGTGGCAGATTAGGAGCCTTTGGCAAGCACATAGTTTGTTGAACGGTGATGTCATACCAATAAACAAGAATAAACAATATTTTTGGTATAAGTTTTGGCAATTGAGTGTTTATTGGAAGGCCAAATAGTTTGTTGAGCAATCTTTTTGCCACACGTGATACCAAACAACTAAAATCAGTTAATGAGCTGACAAATACCACATATTATGAAACACTATGCTGATGCAATGATTGATAATATGTTTGAGCATACAACAGCTAAAGAATGTCAAGAACTATATACTTATAAATACCCAAAACTAAACTAATTGAGCAATACTTTAGATATACTAATGATATTATGTCGTCAACATACAACATAGCCCAACATAGCATATTTGAATAAGACCTGTAAACAATCTTATAAATCATATGCATGGTTCAAACAAACACTGAAAACCACGTATTTTGGGGGGCCTGGTGGCGTCCCACTCTCCGAAAAGCATCCCGCAAGCATATGAAACAAGAGTGTGACACAAGAGCGCCGTACAAGAATGTCCCACACCCCTCCGAGAATGTCCGTGCAAAGTTGTCGCGCAAAAGAGTGTCCACAAGAGTGTCGCACCTGGTTGTCCCACATGTGTGGGACAAGGATTTCCTGTCCGACAGGTCCTACATGTGTTGACAAGAATGTCCTATGAGTGTGTCCTACAAGAGTGTCTCACAAGTGTGTCCTAGAAGAGTGCCCTACAAGAGTGTTGCACAAGGGTGTAGCACGACAGTGTCCTTTTAACATTGTGAAATAGTGAGGCGCAAGTGTCTCAAGCAAAAGTGTCGCACAAGTGTGTCCTACAAGAGTAATGCCAGATTGTGTCGTTGAAGCGTCTCAATCAAGAGTGTCACAACGTGGCCGTTTGTGGCAGCATTTGGGTGTGGGTTTCTATCAAGTTTGAAAAAGCTTATCACAGGCGCTCTCAGGAAAACACAAGATCTCGATGTTTAAGCGCAGCAAGTGTCTTAGCATGTCAAATGTCACACAGCGTGACGGTCTGCCTCCATGATGGCAGATGCAACCACATTCCTGGCAGGCTAGCGCATTTTCCTAGTGGAGAGGTTGAGTTGCAATCTAAGACATTGCTGATCAAGATATAGCCTTAGCTGGAGGAGTCTTCTGCTGTCCACCAACACTTTGGGCAACCAGAGTCATAGAAAGAAAAGAACTGTCACACCATCAAGGGCCTCAAGTGGACAAAAACTAGTTTGTGGAGGAAACATGAATCCACTTCAATGCTTGTTCAACCGACAGAGAAATAGACACCCCCACTCAGATAAAGCTGGAACCTGTGTTGGGGCGCCTGTCCAAGTGGTCTTCGTCCGACGCAAATTTGTCCTCAGCATCGCAGGGTCCATGCTGGCAGATCTTTGGATGTGTTGTGAACATTTATCCCAACATCACCAATGCCGAGGAGTTACTGACGTGTGACATCAAGGCTCGTTCCTTCATGCCAGATCAATGTCGATCCAGCTGATGTGTATCTGAACCTGTGACCTCACTGCTATTGACATAAAACACTTTTACAGCCCTTGGTTTGCTGACCTGGAACGCTAAGCTTCGCCGGTAAGGGAACGCAATCTTGCGAAAATCTCAAGGCTCGATGCTATGGACTTCCAGGAACAAGATGGAAAAAGGTATTCAAGGCGATATCCAGCCAATTCTAGATAGCTGGATGGTGACCTAAATGGGCGTTCCTAGTCCATATGTGTACACTGTATGTATGTATGTATGTATGTATGTATGTATGTATATATATTTTTGTATATATGGGCCGCGACTTATATAACTTTGTTTTTTGTTCATGTTTTTGATTTTTTTGTTTTTCGTGTTTCGTGGCAGGTGCAGTACTTTGTGGACCTTGCAAAGCACATTTCGTGGCAGGTGCAGGACTTTGTGGATGTGGAAGTGCAGAGTTGGTGGCAGGTGCAGGACTTTGCGGGCCTTGGAGTGCAGATTTTGTGGCAGCCGCAGGACTTTTTGTGGGCCTTGAAGTGCAGATTTCGTGGCAGGTGTAGTACTTTGTGGCCCTTGGAGTGCAGATTTCGTGGCAGGCGCAGGACTTTATGGACCTTGAAGTGCAGATTTCGTGGCAGATGCAGGACTTTGTGGATGTGGAAGTGTAGAGTTGGTGGCAGGTGCAGGGCTTTGTGGGCCTTGGAGTGCAGATTTCGTGGCAGGCGCAAGACTTTGTGGACCTTGAAGTGCAGATTTCGTGGCAGGTGCAGTACTTTGTTGATGTTGAACTGCAGATAGATAGAAAGATAGAAAGATAAATGGATAGATAGATAGATAGATAGACAGATAGATAGATAGGTAGATAGATAGGTAGGTAGGTAGGTAGGTGGAGACACGGTCATAATAGGGCCCCTGGTTTTCTGCTTCTTCGTGCGTTTTCGAGCTGACTGTGTGCGTTTTTGAGGTTGCGGTGATGAGGTTGATGTTATAGTACGTTAGTTTAGACTTTCAATGGGGGGTGGTTGGGGGGTGGGGGGGTAATGACGTCCATGTTACAAGAATGTTTGATGAACTATTTAGACGTTACATGGGGGGGGGATAATGACGTCCCTGGGGGTGATGATATTTTGAATTTTCATGGGGGTTCGGTTGAGGTTGTTGATCGATACGTTCTATGCCGACATTGTATCTCACCTACTGCAAGTTTTGGCTTCGACGATGACGGTTTCGGATGTTTCGACGGTGTTGTGTTTGGTTTTGTTGTTTCGTTTGTGTGGTGTTCGGCAACCGCCTCAAACAGATTTGGAGTGTTTGGGACCCCTTTTTCGTGTTAACGTTTTTACGTTAGATCAATATATTGATATTTTCACGACCCCTCTGTTGGATGACACATTGAACTTTGTTGTGCAAACATGTTTGATCTCCGAACCTTCTTGGGTAGATTGGGATCTGGTTGGACAAACACGTGGGAATCTTTTTCGATGTTGGTTGGAATTTTGTCGAGGTAGAACCCCCAACACAGTGTTGACAGCTGCACTTCTAGTTTTATCCCGTCGTTTACATCGTTCCTGCGCAATGCCGACCATGAGTGCCACACCAAATGTCGTGATGAGCGCCACGCCAGATGTCGTGACTTGACACATCACTCTCAGCTTTTGTCTTTTGTTCCCCTCGCATGTTAGAAGAGTTTGTGGGCATCAGAAGCCAGGCACGCAATGTGTCGACCGATGGTGGCAAAGCTTGGAGAAAGCTGTGCCTAAGACACTCAAGGTGAAAGACCGCAAAGGGGGTGGCATCTCCGAGCGCCTGATGAACTACGTTTACGCTTTCGTTTGGCGCTCCAACTTAGATGCCGATGTAGACCTGACCAGAGCACTCGGGAGCCTCTGAGAAAAGTCTTTGCGGCAACTACTTCGGCCGTCGAAACGAACCACCGCTGAAACGGGTACGAAACTCTGATATTTACACTATAAAATGCTCATTGGCTTCCCAAAACAAAGGTAATTCACCTACTTTTCAAACACTAAGGCCTCAAAACACTGAAAGGGTTCACAAAAACGAACATGCCCACGAGACGAAAGCCTCAAAAACCAGGGGCCCTATGAAGTGCAGATTTTACACCAGATCCAAAGGTGAGCAGCTCGTGCTTGCTTGCTTGCTTGCTTGCTTCCTTGTTTGGTTTCGTCTCTGCAACGAAAACAACAGGAAAAGCAAATGCAAAAAGCCAAAAGCCACAGAAGCCACGAAGGCCACGAAAGCCACAAAAGCCAGAAGCCACAGAAGCCAAAAGTCACAAAAGCCAGAAGCCACAGAAGCCACAGAAGCCAGAAGCCAGAAGCCACGAAAAAAAAGAAATCCAAAAAAGTGTATAATGTCTTGATATGATATATTATACAAAAAATTACCAGTTGGATATCATACTGGAACTCAAGGCCGAGGTTCCCTGTCCAGTTCAATGTTCGGTTTACAAAACAATATTTCGTGTGTTGAGTAGTCTTGGCAGTCAATGAACAACTACTTGATCCGACTCGACTGTCAATGATAAATCAAAACCCTTGTTAGATGTTCAGGAATCATGAATAAAACAGTTTGATTACAACATGTTGTGCCTGGAACACTTCCAAGAATCAGCTTTTGATGACTTCTAGAGCATCTGCTTTGGTCTTAAAGTCTTACTGAATACTTGAAACAAAACGTCAATCAATGGTGGGAGTCCACACTCTTCATCTTTTTTCCCATTTTCCGTTGGTGCAAAACCCTGATGTCTCTCGCAGCCCCTCACATCGGTCCTCCTCATCGCTACTCATGCCAAACAGGCAGATCTCGCCTTCGAAGCCGTCAAGTCGACCCATGCCAATGCCTAGGCGTGGGCCATGCGATGGCCGAGCTAGTCACAAAGGCGGACATGCAAATTGAATCAAATTGACATTGACTCTGACCGTTTTTGCTGGCATCGAGTTGACGACACCAAGCATCAAGCCACTGGACACAGAGCCTGACCAGCCCCGAGCCTCGGAGGTGAGAAGACCCGAAGTTACACTAGTGTGCTCAAGCTGGCCAATCCATTGTAACTGATGAATTGTTTCAGCTGATTGGCAGGATATATCCGGATGAACACAATAAACCAAGGATCATGTTTACCAAGTAAGTAAGGTCCCATACAACACTGCGAACAATTATAGTTGGCACTGACCCCTTTGAAAACTAGTAGCAAACCTTCACCAGCTTTTGGTCTGTCGGGATGCATCCAACAAATGCAATTTGCATATGAAAGGGACTTGAAAGTGGTTGGTCAAAACCAAGGACTATGGGTGAAAAACAGTTACAATGGATTGAATGAACAGGATTTGGGAATTGAATGAAACATGCTTAATATGTTTCCGGTTTCCACGTTTGTTTCCGGTGACGCATGTTGTGATGCAAAGTCTCACCTCTTGGACCTAGCTATCCTAGCTTTGAATGGCTTAGATTCTCCAAATGCACTCGAATGGCTTCGAATGGCTTATTTTCTGACCAAAAACGCTGTCACAGCCACAATCGCATCCCAAAACATCATAAAACATCAGAGTTCTCTCCTTGGCGTACCCAAACAGTCCAAGTTATGCATGTGTTTATCAGAACAATAGGATCATACCCCGTTGCTTGCATTAAATAGGCTCTGTAAACTGCTCTTCAACCGTCTGAAAATCGCCCCCATGCCCTGGCTTTTGATATGTTTGTAAGGACATGGTTTTTTGCAATGTGACGTAAACACATTGGTGAACATTTCCTTAACTTGTGGGTTGGATGATAGAGTGGATGCCTATTCCACTGGTTGCTTCTAAAATAGGAAGCACATGCCATGCCAAGTTTGTCGTTGGATTTGAAGGCTCTGTGTCGCTCACTTCCATAGAACTAAGCAATCTGTACATAGCTTTTGTAAAAAAGTCTACAGTAATTTCTTCATTGTGTCATTGTGTTCTTTCAACTCCGTCGACACAATGAGGCCCCAACACGACCCGACGACTGGAGATCTCCGGTAGAAGGCTGTCTGGAAGGTGCCTCTGTCAGCGGGACGTTCAGGGCAAATGGTTCAAATCTCTGTTTCATTCTCTCAAAATCTAAAAATCAATATTGAGGCTGTGCACATGCTCCCAAATTTACGATACCCAAAAAGAGGACCCACACAATTAATAATTGTTCATCTACCATTGAGTCTGGGTGTTTCTATCCTGCATAAACCACAGCATCCCTTTGTTGCTTTGAGGAAGAAAGAACCTTTGGGCCTGCTATATAATATATACATATACATCTATTGCATTTTCAACTCACAGTAGTACCAAAGGCACCCGGTGTACCATGAACAATCACCAAGTGATTTTCACGTTTTGTGCCCAGGGTGATGGATAAATCAACAAGGAGGCAATTACTATGGGATCTGCAGTCGGCCTGATGTGCTTCAAACACTTGGTGACTTAGATGAACTAACAAACATAAATCATATATTCGCTTATCCAGCCAGGCCCTTTTCGCCCTCCGTGAGGTTGTAGTGAGTCCCAACTTGGAAGGCACTGATGCTTGAACTTGTCCATCTTCATTTGCTTTTCTTGGGTGTCCTTTGTTTTGCGAATGGGCGGCGCTTGATGATGCAACATGGGCCGTGCCTTGCTTGGTGCCGCGCAACAATGTCGTTCTCGAAATCAAAAGAGGTCCGTTTTCTAGTCTCACCATTGGTTCATGTGATGCCCTTTCTGCATGCCCGGGCTGCCTCGGGGCTCACGGACCGAGAGGTTCCGGTGCCATGTGAGCCGTCCAAAGATCGACCCCTGCGCTGCTGGCTCGAAGAAGGAAGGGCCCCAATACTCAGCACGAATGAAGCTGTCAACTGAGGGCTTTCCATGGCAACCCATCACATACTAAACTACATAATCATGTTTGAATACGTTACAAACATCATCAAAGTGACCCTTGTTTTCTCCACAATTGGGCTGGCAGTCAAGAGAGTAGGGCATGTCCGTCAGCAAGGTTCCCGTTGGTCGCTGGCAAGCGCAGCAGAACCTTGCGCATGCTAGGGTGTGGCTGCGCAGACCAGCAAACAGCAGCAGCAAACCACTTCGGCAGTCACTGTAAACATGCTAACGTGTGCCACCTTCGGTGTAAAAACACATCATACAGAGTTCGAATGAACCTGAACAACTTGCACGTGCACTTGTACAACGCACACGCACGATCAATGGAATCCCGACAATCAATGTAACAACTGCCACACTGAAAGCATAGTCAAACGCACATTCAACAGCAGAGAGCTCAAAGCCACCAATATGCTCAACCGACTCTGTTGTATTCTGCGCTGTTGTTTGCGCAACATTGCTCAATGCTACAACCATTGAAACCCTCGCTGCAACTTGGTTCGTTCATTCAAACGTCTGAGCTGTTGAGGCTTGTCTCTTTTCTTTGTTCCTTTTCTTTGCGGCTGTATAGTTTTCATCGTGGACAATGCTGGTTATTTGGTTTTGAGCATATCTGATGTCCGCTTTGACGCATAAGACCTTGATTCTTGCCCTTTGCCAGCTGAACTTCCAATGCCGTCCTTCTTCAAGCTGTTGTGCAATGCTTTGGCACCAATGGTTATTGCCGACTTGCCACATTTCTGCTGCCGTTGCTTCTGCCTTGGGATCAAGATCTGGATTCAACATCGACGCCAACATTGATTTGACCATCATCAACTCGCCCAATGCCCTGGCTTTCTGCGCTCAATCTTGATCAACACACTCTTGTCGACTTGAATGAACGCCAGCTAATGACGTTGTAAGCCTTGCAAAGCACGCTGTGAGGTCAAAACAACAACGTAGCCTCCCTGACTACTCCCACCATTTCGCACATTGAACGCAGCACTAGAAAAGCACAGAATCCAAAGGTCATCAACGCCCTTGCAGACTGCTGTCATGTTCACCTTGAAATCTGCTGCCTGCTTTGCGAACCGCAACGTTTTGTTCAAGCCTGTCAGAAGTTCCACTGTTGCTTTGTTGGTGTTTGCCGCTGTCAATGATGTCGATGCACTCAAAATCGGACACCCTTGTCCTGCTGGCCACTGCAAGGGGCCTATCAATGCGCGGGCCCTTGACACTTCTGAACTTGTCAAAACATGTTTCTGTCCTCAACCTTTCTGGATGGTGATCGGCATCACTTTCTTCATGTACTTGGCAACGTCGAGGCTCACTTTGTTTCCGTGCCTTGAAATATGCACTCCACAGTAGATGATCTCTTCACTTTCTTAGTCTGTTAAATCTTGTCCACCGCTTCACTGTCTCATGTTGAAACTCATCAGCAAATCGTCAACGTGCACAATGAGCATGCCCGCCAACAAATTTGATGAGCTGTCCATCATGTATGTGCACTTGCGCAAGCGGCGTCTTTTCAAGTTCAACGCGCGAAGGTATCGATCTGCTTCTGTCCACCATAGGAGAGGTGCATCGCGCAACCCATATGCCGACATTCTCATCTTCATGTATGTCGGACTTTTGTTCCCCAGCAAAGCGCTGCAGTCCGAGGGTAGCTTCACAATGATCTCACGATCAACCTTCACTCCTGATAGGATCGCTGCCCTCACATCAGCGCAGTATATTGTCGAATCAAGCAAAACCATCTTTGACGTCTTGTTTGCTGTTGGACTGTTCTTCTCGAGGCTGAGGTAGTCTGGGTCTTGGAAGCCTCTGCCTTGCGTTGCAACTGCCCTTTTGCTGGAGGTTTCCGAACTAGGGCCCATCTTGCACTTACTATTCGAATTCGACTTGGTTTGGTTTTTGCCCAACTCTGCGTTGTTCACCCGCCTCTGCAAGAAATGCCTCATCGTCCAACTCAAACTCTCCGTCAATCAGCCTCCACCCTGAGGCAATGTTCCTGACTGCATCTCAACCGCGAATGCATCTTCAACAAGGAGGTCATCATCGCCAGGAACGGGAACTGAGCTGCCATGGTTTGTCTGGCGCGCTTCATGGCTGGTTCTGTGACTTCTTCTTCACCCTCTCGTTTCATCTCCTGATCTCTTCTCCTGTCACAGAAGGACCTTCTGGAACTTCTGTGGACGGTACTTCTCACACGCTGATACAGCAATACTGCACCAGGAACTTTACCTTCTGGACTGTCTTCGGGTTCATCTTCTTTCTCTGATGGTGCTTCTGTTGTTTAATAAAACGGTTAATACTCTTCATCGCCTCGGTCATTGTCCATGAGTCCATGAGACCTACAAGCTCGTATTCTTCAGGTTGTTGCATCCTCTCTGAACCATGCTTTGTGCTCGAAGCTCCTTCAGCTCTTCGAGCGCTGCCTTGGTATCAATTGGTATGTGGAGACCTGCATCCTTCACCATGGGACGTACTTACTTGATGAGGAGAGCAACGAAGTAATGAAGTTCCGTGCCACAACCAAAGCGCAATTTGCTTGCCTTCTTCATCTCTTTCTTCAGCAACACATGCTGCAGGGCCTCTCCATTTGTTTTTGTAAGAATCCCTGACCGTTGCATGCGGAGAGACTTCAAAAACAGACTCCATTGGCCAAATTGGGCTGTACTTGCACCAGGCCACCAGGAGGTCCTCACGCTTGCGCCCTCTACGCTCAGCTGACTCTTTGTCCACCATGACCTGCACAAATTTAGACATTCATGTGATGAGACCATCCTGACGCAGGCTTTGAAGCTGGATCTTCATGTTCTGCCCTTCCCTGCAGCTGGCCTATCTCGATTTGGACGAATGGCTAGTGCGCCCAGTGACTATACTCGAGGGTCCCTCTACTTTCAGTACTTGCTTGACATGACTCGGACCACATCACAATTTTCAGTCTCCACGCCTCTGCAGCGCATGAGTGTCCAGTGTTTCTACAACTAGGAGCCTTGCTGCGCCGCTTGCATCATGGCCATGGAAACCGACGAAATGAAGCAAGTTCAGGCCATGTGGGGCGTGCTTCAGACCGTGGCCTCATGCATGGAGACGGAACCCTCCAACCAGCCCAACAAACGACCTTGGGCAAACCCTCCGCACTCTAAAGGAAAGGGCAAGGGCACACCAATGGAAGATGCACTCACACATCTTCACCGAGATTGCCAACCCTGTGGATGACCTTCCGCCTTCCCATACTTCTTTGGGCTGACCGTGGCTGACCCTGATGCAAAGCTGGGACCGTCCCTTTGAGCAACACGACATGGTGGAATTCATCCGCTATATACCTGGTAGCCTCACGCCAAGCATCATGATGAAGCGTGCGAAGATGTTTAAACAGAGAGGTGGAACTTTGGGAAAGGTGACCGCATAGGCCGCATCGAAGTCCCAACCTTCTCACCAAACTTCTGTATCCCAGCAAATGATCGAACGTTCCCCCATTCAAGCCAATTAAAATCACCGAGCACTTCCACAAGATGGGAATTTTAGCAATGTCATTTGTGAGGTGTCACAGTGGTTGCCGTCAATGTGGTGCTTCAGTGCACGGAGGGTCAAAAAGTCATGTGTGCACTCGTTTGCTGAGTACGAGCCGCCCAGTATCCGCACAAGACACAGCGATGCGCTCTAGCAGTCGTCGACGTTGTGCAAGTACAACTGGTGGTGCCTTGGAGAGTTCAAGATTGGGACATGTCATGGTGATGTGATGTTTCAAGTTCTGCCAACTGATGAACTCCACACCGCAGTGTCTACATATTGGACTTCCATCAAGGGCATCCCTGGAGATTTCAAGTGAGGGCCTAGGCGGTACCACAAAGCCATGTACATGAATGAGATGTCTTGTCAAGGTGTGCTGGCGCATGAAAGTCAGCCCACATTCATGACAATCGAGACCCACATCTGCAAATCATGAGCCATATGCTCCTGCCACCAACAGTCAATGCATTCGGGAGCATGATGGAGGTGTTGCGCACATGACTGATGCAAGATGTGGGCGCAAGTGAGCGGATCTTTCCCCCCAACATTGAACCAGGGAGAGGATGCGGCGCCGCAGGAGGCTCAAGGCCACGCGTCTGCAAGAAAGTAGGATGTGAGATGTGCGACAAAAACGAGTGGTCAGCACCCAGGGTTCTAAGTTGCTGCATCATCTGTTTGTTGAGCGTCGTCAATGTGGACATGTTGACTCCCAGTGCATCAATGCCGTACACAGCATTGGGAAAAAGAGACGTTTGCCACAATGCGTGTTTCTGCTCCAGTATGATGCCACTGCCCCTTTTGAACCAAGGGAGCATTTGCCGGAATCTGCAAGCGCTTGCGGTGAGGCGAACTTGCATTGAATGTCTCAATGTGCAACGATAGCCAATCTTCACCCCCAAGTAGTCATGGGTGCCCTTCAGGGGGATCTCATAGGTGGGGGATTTGCGTCAAAGTCTGATGCTGAGTGCTGCGTTAAAAGCGTTTGCAAGCACATTTTTTCCACGATCCCTTGATCTCCAGCAGAACGGCTAGAAGGTGCAGCAACTCGTGGCAGTTGCGAATTCCGTTAAGATCAAAGCCACAAAGGAGGCCCAGAAAAAGGGAGCTCCCCTACATCGCCTACATCCCTGTCTCACCCCTTTGAAGGTGGGGATAGAGCGAGTCTGTCCCTTATAGGTGAGGATGTACTGTGTGTGGCAGTGCCATTGGAGAAGTACACTAGCCCAATGATTGTCTGAACTCTCTGACGTCTGCACTGAAGCGCGCGTTTGCGCGCCTGTCGTTTCCACACCGAAAGTGCAGTTTGGTGGCGCCAGTGTCGAAGATAGGTCAGGAGCCCCACGGCCCGCCCATCCGCAGCCACATCAGCAGCTACCGGCGGGGCCCGCCAGGTCTGCGCGCAGGTCCATTTGTGTGGCCAGGATACCTGAGCAGTGGAGGCGGCAGGATGGAAGTTGAGGCAGTGGTTCATCATCAGCTTATTGAGGGCTGGAAGACCAGGAGGTTGATTGGTCAACTGGTGAAGCTTGCATTGCACTTGACGCAAAAGGTCGGACCATTCCTGAGCATGGTGTTCCCAATGAAATTGAAGAGCTTGTCTCTGTGATTTGGAGAGACTAGGGACTTCATGGAATCTTGTGCATCATAGGGATATGGTCCAGGTGAAGACCCATTATCTGAGGGAGGTCAGGCATGCAGGAAACTCGCTTGGAATATAAGTCGCCATCACGTTGCTGAACAAGTAGAAAGTCCATGAAGACCCATCATCTGAGGGAGGTCAGGCGTGTAGGAAACTCGTTTGGAATATAAGTCACCATCACGTTGTTGAACAAGTAGAAAGTCCAGTCTGGAGTGAACCTGTCGTGGACCCATGTAGGTTGCACCCAACTGTGGAGACTTGCCAGGTGTTCAAGGTCACCAAAGAAAATTCCGAAAGTAAGGCCTGAAATGTTCGTCGATCTCGATGTTGAGTGCCCTCACTCCGTCCCTGTTCCATTGCGAAGCTGGACAGACCCACACAATGGGGCTGATGGCGCAGACTCGTGTTGAAGTCTCCTCCAATCATCCAGCAGTTTCGACTGAGCAGGCCCCTGAGAGTTTGCCTTAAAGTGTCCCAGAAAGTCTGTTCTCTAGGCTCGAAGGGTCCACCGTGTTGAGGGGGTATTGATAGATGCCCAACACATCAACATTGGTGGTCCCAGTCTAAAGACGAACGTGGGATGCAGCTTCCTAGTGGAACTTTCCATGGAATGCGGTCTACTTCACAAAAACCTGGCGGACGACGGTAGGCCTCCTCTGTGGTTAAAGGCTCCTGCATGGATGTAGGCAAATTGCCCATCCTCCCATTCCCCAGTAAACGTCCAGGGCGTATTTTGAAGGCAGAGACAGTCAAAGCTTTGTCCCTGTATCCAAAAACGAAACAAACCCCATTTCACCATGCTAAGTGTACATGCTCTGGCAAAAACGAGCCGAGGGCTGTTGGTTGGTGAGTGGGTCCGGAGCCAGAACTGCTTCTGCTGGATCCGTGGCAGGCTCCTGTGAGCAGGCGACAAGACCTTGTGTGGTTTCACTCCTAGTTGACGGGCCGTCATCATCCATTGGCCCTTGTACCATGTCACTCCGTATAGAGTGGCTCTGTTCAGAGCCTTGATATATCTTGCTTTGTCCATCTTGCTTTGTCCTCTCGGATGTCATGGGTTGAGTCTGTACCAGCACCTCCCAAATCGATGCGAGGAAAACGAGGAACCGAACTTGTACTCGAAGGTCACCCGCCTCACAAAATCGACGTGCGCCAGCGCCCGTCCCCCGTGATGAAGGCGAGGAGCCGGAGCGCCAGTCCAGAAGGTGCGCCAGGTCCAGCTGCGGCCGCCGTGCTTGGCAGGGGAGAACAGGTTCAGGAGCGCAGAGCGTAAGGACAAGAAGCTCCACGCCATGCAGCACCCGACGAGTTCGAACCACTCGCAGCCCTTATCATCATCATCATCACCATCACCATCACCATCATCATCATCATCATCATCATTTGCTACGCAAAACATCTCACCGATACGCAAACACCGTTTCAATTCTTGATGGCCTGGGATGGTTTGGACATGTTTTGAACACGTTCCCGGATGTCGGAAGACAGAGTTACTTCTTGTAAAGGTTCCAGCGTTTGCAAATGCCATTCTATAAACGGAAGAGGAGCTAGGAAACAATGATCTTTGTGGCTGGCTCTCCACTGGACCCTTCGGTCGCGCTTCTTGGCGCCTCCTCCGACCCCAATCGGGCAAATTGCTCATCCAGATTGTGCTCAAGTCATCCAAGGCTCCTGGCAACGTTTTGTATGTCAAACAAGTACGTAAATAGTTGGTGGATTTGGTTATATAATGTTATATAGTAATACAGAGTAGGCAATCAATGATTCCAATGACGGAAACTATATAAATATATGAACCATTATGAAACTATAACCAAGAAACCCCGACTACCTGCTGTAGCAGTCTGCAGGTAGGAAGCGCCTTGGGTATTGACTTGCTTGTTAGTCGAGGTCGTCAGGAATGCTTGGTACCCGAGAATGGCAATCATACTTTATTGAATTACAGTTGCACTTGCTCGGAACCAATGCAAATTCCGTCTGGCTATACCTGATGCTTCAGCGGCACTTCAACTTTCAGCATGGGCCCCATGGCCCAGCGTCAGACTGCTACGGCATATGGCATCGCATCCGTGATGGTTACATACGCCAGACTGTTGCGAGCCTTGCCCCTTGAGTCCGGAGCCTTACTGTAACTGCAGAATACACTTGGGCTTGTCTGGAACATCCGATCGAATGGTGCATCTTTGATTGTTATTGATATTGCCAGGATTCTTGGGATGCAGGTAGGCTCTGGTTGGGAACACATGTTATTTTTCCCCAGATAGCGAAGCTTGGGGTTCTTACTCCAAATGACAATGAGTTGCCCGTGCGCGTTTTCGAGACAGGTTGCTGGTGCTGGGTGCCGGTGTTGGTGCTGGTGCTGTGAGCTGGCTGTGCACGTGGTGGAGACAGGTTGCTGGTGCCGTGCTGGCCAGCGCCAGCACCAGCATCCGGCACCCAGCACCAGCACCGGCGCCAGCAACCTGTCTCCACCACGTGCACAGCCAGCTCACGGCACCAGCGCCCGCACCGGCACCACCACGTGCGCAGCCGGCACCCAACACCCAGCGCCAGCACCAGCAACCTGTGTCCACCACATGCACAGCCAGCTCACAGCACCAGCGCCACCACCGCCACCCGGCTCCCAGCATCAGCGCCAGCAAACTGTCTCCACCACGCGCACAGCCAGCTCACAGCACCAGCACCATCAGCACACCCACCTCACAGCACCACCCCCGCCGGCACCCGGCACCCAGCACCAGCACCAGCAACCTCACGTGCACAGACAGCTCACAGCACCAGCACCAGCACCGGCACCCGGCACCCAGCATGCTGTTGGCTGGCTGTGCACGTGGTGGAGACAGGTTGCTGGTACTGGTGTTGGTGCTGGGTGCCGGGTGCCCGTGTTGGTGCTGGTGCTGTGAGCTTGCTGTGCACGTGGTGGAGACAGGTTGCTGGTGCTGGGTGGCTGCGTGCCGGCGCTAGTGCTGGTGCTGTGCGGTGCCGGTGCTGGGTGCCGGGCGCCGGTGCGGGTGCTGGGCGCCGGGTGCCGGCGCTGGTGCTGTGAGCTGGCTAGGTTGGCGGTGGTGCCGGGTGCCGGAGCCGGGCGCCGGTGCGGGTGCTGGGTGCCGGTGCTGTGATCTGTCTTTGCACGTGGTGGAGACAGGTATATCTAAGGACATCTAAGGACGATTTACATGTTATGCATTGCTAGGGATTCTTGGAGGGTTGTTGTCAATCTCATCTTCACCTCAACACCTACGGTGTATGCAGGACTTGAAGCCACTCCTGCGTTTCCCTATGACTTCCCGACGAAGCAATGAAAAGGGCTCCGTCGGAAGGGGCAAGGATTAGAAGCATCGGTGGCCTTGTACCGACTAGGTGGGTTGGTTTGTTTGGTTGGTAATGGGGCTGGTAGAGGAGACACACCCAAGTGTGTCAAAAAGGTTCCTGTGTATGCTTTGGACCTGCTGACACTGCAGGGCGCTGTCCAATTCCCCAGATAGTGAAGCTATGGGGTTCTTACTTCAAATAACAATGAGTTGCCCGTGCGCATTTTCGAGACAGGTTGCTGGTGCTGGTGCTGGGTGCCGGTGTTGGTGCTGTGAGCTGGCTGTGCACGTGGTGGAGACAGGTTGCATGTTTTTGCTATCTGGGGTCTATGCTGGTGTAATTTTTGCACTACTGATGGCTCCACGTACTCAACACCCGTCTTCGAAGGCGACACGTGAAAGCCATCGTAGAGGAGTCTTGGGAGCGCATACTTCCAGGTTTCAGGGTCGTCTTCAGGGTGGTCTATCAGCTGGGTGTGCCAGGCTGGCAGAAGGCACCAAAAAGGACTGCATTGTCTGTGTGTAGCAGCTGCGTCCTTGGCTTGAATCCAATGTCATTTTATCTTCAGCTCCACCTGCAGCCACGGAGAATGTTGGCCCACCCAACAGCACACTGCTTGCGGTGGAACATGGAAGTGGATATTGAGTCGAGGCTTATGTAACGCACTAATGGTCTTCAACTGGCATGGGCCATGGGAGCATACAACAGCAATGGACTGACTTACAACACTGCTGTCTTTCATGAAATAGGAAAGTCAACCTACGTATAGCCAGATCGGAACCCGGCTGCCGCCATAGGGTTGTAATAAAGAAACAATTACAACGCTGAGTTGAACTGAAATTCCCCACTGAATCAGAAATCCAGCTATTCATGTGCAAGATAAAGTGCATAGACTTGTGCTTTGTGAGTCGCAAAGCGCCAAGGATCTTTTTGTGGAGGGGCGTGTCTGATTGAAACCTTGTTCCCTCTATGAGCCTCTATGCCCCAACAGAAACAGGTTGTCTTGGGTCATGTTGAGTTCAAGGTAGCAAGGATGCCCTGTTTGCCAAAGGTATTGAACTCCCAAAAGCCTCAAACGCCGATATTAAAAGCACAACTTGGTGGAACATGATCTTCTCTCCCGCCCGCACGTCATTGCACGCTAGCCTCCGTGCGCTGTAGTGACATCAAAGGACCTGGCGGAAATCCAATAACTGGCGGACCTGAGACTATGGTTTTGGACCGGTGAACCAATAGACACAGCCCGCAAATTTATGCCCAAGAACTTGTCACGCAGTATGCAAAGACACAAGACCAGATTCTTGCCACGATGCCAACAGAAACAACTAGATTCAATTATAAATTGTATATATATATATTATATTTATAAATCGATTTCCGTTGTTTTTATTTGTTTCCTTTAGACAGCGGCAGCGTAGGGTTTCGGGTGGTGCTCAAACCCAGTAACACGAAAATGAGGCACTTCAAGGCCTCAAGCGGACTCAACGCCTTGAAGCCTTGTCCCGTGGACCTGTTTCTTTGGCTGTTGCTACACCGGCTATGCGTGCGTTCGTGTGCTTTCTGCGGTGTGGCGGTGTGCTGTGGGACACCTTGGCGCTTCGCCGCTTTGTGCTGTGTTTTGACGCTTGAGGCTGTCTGCCGCCGCTCTCTGCAGCAGGAAAGTGCCGCGTTTGCATTGCCAACTGCTGTGGTTCTATTTCGCGAGAGGCCCACGTCTTCCTGGATCTTTCCGGATTTCCCGTTTGAGAGAGCGCAAGTGCGAAGCGGACGTCAAAGTTGGTCTGTGTGACGTGCACCCCACAATTGGCAAGGAGTAAGGAGCTGCTTTCCAACGGCATTTATATTGCTCACGTGCCCCAAGTATACATTGACCTTTCCAAATCAAATAAGAGATGCAACCTTCCAGGCCGGCTAGATGGAATGCTAACATAATGATGGACGTTTTGGTCCACGGCAGGCGACCTCAAAGAGATGTTCGTGTAAGGCTTCGAAGACCCGCACTGAGGGGTGGGTCTGAATGCCCATGCAATGACGTCAATATATTGACATCACAAAGCCTTGTTAATGATTGTTAATAAGCAAGCATGCACTGATGTAATTCATGTACAATTGTTCTTATTGGAACCGTTGTGAACACAAATCTATATAGACTCAGCAATTTGGTTTCGTGACCAAATAACACGGCACAACATTGTCCTCTGCTGAGGGGTCAAAATCTCTCTTGCGCCCGTCCCCAGCTGAAGCGACACTTGATCAACAACTCCAGCCTCTCGGGTGTGGTCACCGCACCTCGTTGCTGGGAGACGGATTAAAGGACACGGTAAACATTATTCAACATACCGTAGTGCCAAGGACGTTACTAGGTGGAGGCCATATCGCTACCAGTAACAAGAAGTTATATACTAGGGAGAATGTACTTTGGCCACTTGTTTGACACAGGGTGGCTGTATTGTGTAATGTTCCTTCCTCCCATGGACTGCACTGCGGTTTGACAACCACTCACCGCTTTGTAGTTCAAACATCTATATATAGCTGGAAGAACATTTCCATGCGCTGCTTTGGCCCAGTTTCAACCTGATCAGGGGCGTTTCATTTATCGAGCGTATTGGGCTCCGCACAGTCTTGAAGGAACATTGAATAAGGAAGATGGATCTTCATTGCGGCTGTTGTTTCATTGCCTCGTCTGATGTGTGGGTTTGATGTGCAAACTTCCTTGTATCCTCAGGTAATAGGTTCCGCACTTCGGTGGCATTCCACCGAACAAACACCCAAATTCAAGAGCAAAGAGACCCTCTGTAACGAGGAGTAAAAAAACAACAATCGCAAATACATACAAATATAATCAAATATATACTATGTTGGACCCCGGGTTCACCGCGTCATTGCACCGATGGCATGCTGCCTGCCTACTGAGTCTACCCTTGCGGCTACCAACACAATGCATACCGGCTCCAAGGCCCTCGCCAACGTGGGGCTCCGAGGGGCCCTCACAAATTGGCTGGTTACGCCAGATACCAAAAGGAATTTGAGAGGAGACCATCGCTAGTAGGTTGGAGGCCAATCCTTTTAGGTGCAAAGTTTGTTTCGCAAGGACATCCGACAATAAGGCCTCTCCGAGTAATCTCCCTCCTGTGTGCTTCAACATGTGTGGTGTAGATGGTCCCAAACGTCGAAGGGAAACCCCGTGTGCAACATGTACTTGGGAAACGAAAGAACAAAACTGAGACCTATTTGAGACGAGTTGGTGTAAGATGACAGATCCAACAAAGCTCTTCACCATCTGGTTGCCAACATGATTGACTGTGACAAGGAAGAACTACGGTGTCTCCAATCGAAAAGCAATCGAAAAGCAGTGTTGGATGTCGTTTATCTGTAGACATAGTGAAACAATGATAGCCATCTCAGGACAGAATGTAGTCTATGTGGTGGGTCAAGACACATGCAGCTAACATGCAATCTCTGAGCTTGACTTGCAAGAAACTTTCAAGAAAAGGCAACCAACAAATACAGATTCATGGCTTGAGAAATTGCAACTTTGTGTTGGTGGAGAGTTAGTGCTAAAGACTTGTCCTGTGATAGAGGGCAACCCACTTGGTAGATGTTAACCACTTGGTAGATGAATAAGGGTTTCCGTTTGTTAAAATGCCATGAACACTGCCATTGGTGTTTGCAGCAAGGATTCCTTCTTCGAGAAGATTCGAGAAGGTAGTGACTCATTTGATGCATCCTGAGCTCCTTTCACCTCCTGCTCGTCCCGCCTGTAAAGGCGTAGAGCTGGGCGTGGCCAAAGGTGTCATGGACCTGGAAGACATGGCAAAATCCTATAGAAATATCGAGGGGTCGTGGAGAGTCTTGAAATCAACGGGAACACAACTAAATCCTTAAAGAACGCATTGTGTGTCTAGAGAGGATTTGTCCCCTTCTGAGACGTAAATTATGTGAGGCGGAGTGAATCGCAAGAACACTCTAAGTTGAGGGTTCCGTGCAACTGCCAAGTCTTGTCCAACACCGTTCAAGACCTGATTCATTTATAGTGTATCATGACAAACGATCTTTGAGAATCAATCGTATCTTGGAACCTTTCTTTAATGAGTACTAACCACTTCTACTCCATTCTCCATGTGTTAAGCACCTTCTGCTTGGGCAGCTCTAAGTCCTACAGTTGCACAAGTTCCTTCAGTGGTCCTTCCTGAGCAAGCATACGGCGCAAAGGTTTGCATTCGCTGAGGGCGCTTTGTGAATGGCTGAGCAAGAGTTGAGCAATCCTATATATATATATATATTTATATAATTGGATGCTACTGTAGTTACGCGTACCACTGTACCCCACTGTAGTGTGAAACCTAGATCCACTGGGGGGCAATTGGTCTCGGTTTTGAGTGAACAGCAACGAAAACAGCTCATTTGTCCTCTTCCAACTCCTTACAAAAACAGGAAGAAGGAAACAGGTTTGCGGGAGGGGAAGGGTTTGATGTTGCTTGATGTTTGACTTCCACCGCTCGTCCCTGCCTGGAAGAGCTGGAGGAGCGAGCGTCATGCATCACACCACCTCGAGCTGCCCAAGCTGAGCTCGAGTGTCTTCGAAACAAGTTCGCCGGATCACATGTCCTTCAGTCAGTGGAAACATCCAGGGCTGTGCGGCGTTCCCATTGTGGGATGATGCTATCATTATTAGTTCCTCACACCCCATGAGCATGAGGGGACTGACCACGGCTTCGAAGATAATTTCAATCTCAAAGCTGCAGCTAACACAAGTGCACAATCCCATTGTAGGGAACTTCCGACACGCGACTGGTATTGGAAAGTTAACTAAGCATTAATGACATTTATTGATACAACGATACATCTGCTAACCCTGAAAAACTGGTGACTTCGTCAACTCAGTGACATTGTTCCCAGTCACCTCCAGCCGCTGGAGCCGCTCGACTCTCGGCCTGGCATGGGGTTGCAGCGATCAAACTGCAGGGTGCCTCCCACTTGACCAACTCGTCGTGTTGATTGCGACTTTTTCCCCAGGTAGCTGCAGGCTATAGGGGTTCCAACTTCTCAATGGTGTGGCTGGATCGGCGTTTTGGTTTTGCATGTGCTGCTGCCGTGCTGATGCTGGTGCAGGTGCAGGCGCTGGCTCTGGATCGGCGTTTCGTTTTGCGTCATGCCAGGGATGACATCACGTCATGCCAAGGGATGACATCATGTCACGCCAGGGGTGACATCATGTCATGCCAGGGATGACATGCTGTCACATTGTGCGTGACACCGTGTTGTGCAGCAATGATCATCATGTCGTGTGGGCAGCTTTGGCTGGTCCTTGCCGATCTTGCAGTTTTTACGCCTGTGTTGGGCAAAGCGGGTGCATTCAGCTGATAGATGTTGCGCATATTGGTGGGCTGGTCTGATGTTGCGTGCTGCGGTGACAGCCGTCCGTGGCGTGCCCTTTAAACCTATACACCCGCTATCTGGGGTCTATGTCGGTGTAATTTTCAGCAATCTATTTTTGTTCCCAATCCAATCAATAACTGCATCTTTTCTTTCATTATCTATATATCTTGTTCACTCTGCCACCCTGGGCTTTGCTGTGAGCAAGCGGATCCCCATTTGGTTGAAGGTCATCTACTATGGAAGCCCTGGATGTTCTGTTGCCCGTCTTGCCAATCGTGCTTCCAAATCCAATGCTACACCATCCTGCCAAATCTAAAGAAACTTGATCTGCAAGAAATCATCAAAGGAAGTTTAGTTTGCAAAACTCCCGTGTTACGGACACTCAACAGCTGTTCAACCACCACTCATCATACACAACTCATCAGATTTCGTGGCAGGTGCAGCAATTTGTGAACCTCCATGTGCAAATTTCGTGGCAGGTGCAATACAAAATGCGTTTTCGAGAGATAGCGGACGCACGAAATGCTGTATTTTTCAATAGAACCGGTGGCTTCGAACCTGGCATGTCTGTGATTAGGTTTTCACTTGTCTCTTGAAGTGCAGATTTCGTGGCAGGCGCAGCACTTTGTGAACCTCCATGTGCAGATTTCGTGGCAGGCACAGCACTTTGTGAACCTCCATGTGCAGATGTCGTGGCAGGTGCAGCACTTTGTGAACCTCCAGGTGCAGATTTCATGTCAGGCACAGCACTTTGTGAACCTCCAGGTGCAGATGTCATGTCAGGCACAGCACTCTGTGAACCTCCAGGTGCAGATTTCGTGGCAGGCACAGTACTTTGTGAACCTCCAGGTGCAGATTTCATGTCAGGCACAGCACTTTGTGAACCTCCATGTGCAGATGTTGTGGCAGGCACAGTACTTTGTGAACCTCCATGTGCAGATTTCGTGGCAGGTGCAGCACTTTGTGAACCTCCAGGTGCAGATTTCGTGGTAGGCACAGCACTTTGTGAACCTCCATGTGCAGATTTCGTGGCAGGCACAGCACTTTGTGAGCCTCCATGTGCAGATTTCGTGGCAGGTGCAGCGCTTTGTGAACCTCCATGTATAGAGTTCGTGGCAGGCGCAGCACTTTGTGAACCTCCATGCGCAGATGTCGTGGCAGGTGCAGCACTTTGTGAACCTCCAGGTGCAGATGTCGTGGCAGGCGCAGCACTTTGTGAACCTCCAGGTGCAGATTTGATGTCAGGCACAGCGCTCTGTGAACCTCCAGGTGCAGATTTCGTGGCAGGCACAGTACTTTGTGAACCTCCAGGTGCAGGTTTCGTGGCAGGCACAGCACTTTGTGAACCTCCATGCGCAGATTTCGTGGCAGGTGCAGCACTTTGTGATCCTCCATGTGCAGATTTCGTGGCAGGTGCAGCACTTTGTGAACCTCCATGTGCAGATTTCGTGGCAGGCACAGCACTTTGTGAACCTCCATGTGCAGATTTCGTGGCAGGCACAGCATCTGGCGAGCTGGAAGCTGAGAACTGGCGGCTCTTGTAGTACAACTTTAGTACGCGGAGCAAGTTGTGAGCTGGAAGCTGAGAACTGGCGACATTGTAGTACAACTTTAGTACGCGGAGTATCTGGCAAGCTGGACGATGAGAACTGGCGACTTTGTAGTACAACTTCAGTACGCGGAGCAATCTGTGCAGCTAGAAGCTGGGAACTGGCGACTTCGTAGTACAACTTTAGTACACGGAGTATCTGGCGAGCTGGACGAGGAGAACTGGCGACTTTGTAGTACAACTTTACTACGCGGAGTATCTGTGGAGCTGGATGGTGAGAACTGGCGACTTTCTAGTACAACTTTAGTACGCGGAGCAAGCTGTAGAGCTGGAAGCTGAGAACTGGCGACTTTGTAGTACAACTTTAGTACGCGGAGTATCTGTGGAGCTGGATGGTGAGAACTGGCCACATCCTTGGTGGGATGTGTGTCGATGTGGGCCGCATCCTTGGCAAGTCGTGGTGGCCGGATGTGTGTCATCTCTCGCAGGGGGCACACACACACCTTACACACGTGGAATCCCTTGGGTCAAAAGTCCGGAGCGCGTGCGTTTGACTGGAGGACGCGCATGTTGGAGAGAACGTGGACACTCCTATAATAGGTCAATTTCTTCTTATAGGAAACTTCCGCCGCCGGCTTGCCCGGGAACTACTTGTACTGTTGTGAAGTGCGTTTCAGGAATTGCACACGTGCAGTAACCCTGTTTCTAGTTTGACATGTGACGGCAGTACAGCGCATTGAAGCGAGTGGTAAGGCTGTGCGATTGAGAAATGGAGCTCGTCTGCCGACCATCCGGAGTCAGATCAGCCAGGGGATCCCTTGCACTGGCAAGCCCCTTGGAGGTCTGCTGTACCCTGTCTTACACATCGCAAAAGATCTGACGAGCTTGGTTTGTTTCTCCAATGGGCCAAAGCCTGATGCTCTTAGAGTGGAACCGTTCCAACATGTTCCAACAACGTAGACATACTTTCCCCTACCAGCTAGGTGCTGGAGTTGTCCAAAAGTGCAGCCTGATGAGTGGTGCCGTCGTATAGCTGCTATAGCTGCCAATCTAGAAAGGTGCAGGGAACCACCGACTATCATGTCGCTCAGGAAGATGGTACGTCTGCTATGTGCCCGACTTGGCGACTTGGTCAGTTTCCGTCGTGTCCCCACAGCCTGGTGTCCCGATGACCTTGGGTGTCATGTGGCAGACGATCTGTCGCGTACACAGTATATGGTCCAAACCAAAACCCTTTATGTGTCTTCCAGTTCAATGAAGTGCATCAATTTATCAATTACTCGGCACCCTGCCTTCTCCCACTGTAATGGACTATGACGGTTCATAAATACAGGTCTTCTTGGAAGTTGTCACAAAGGCTTCCCCGCTGTTACGGGCTGACTGCTTGGTGTGGACTCGTTCAAGTCAAAAGCTTGGCAGATCCCGACTGTGACTATCCATGACCAGGCGCTTTTGGATCAACGTCCAAAAGCTCTTGATTGTGGTCTACAGGACATTCAATGCCTGCTCAAGACCAACTAAATCACTTTGGCTTTCAACCCAGTGACTACATTGGGTGATTCCCATCGCCTAACAGTTCGCATGTCTTATGATGTTCAGTAAGGGCCTTTCCAGTGACAATACTTTTAGTGGACCCCAAATCCCATCAACGGCTTGCATTAAAACATGTTTGTTTTTGCATTAGTGCACAAAACATGCTCCGCGCCGCGCATGTTTCCTGCTTAAAAACACACTCATATTGAGACGAACCCCTCCGTCTTGGCTCCCCAGCGAAACATCCTCCCTGACCTCGGATCTGAAAGTTCTTTCATGAAAAAAAACACTGCTCCTCTTGACGAACATCACGTGGTGGCTTCAGAATTGCATTGGCTTGGGATTCCCAGTTTTCAGAGTGTGAGTGAACAATCATTGGTTTTGCTTTATCGAAACAATGCAACAAAAGCGTGCGGTCACCAATATTGAAGGATTGAGGGATGACCTCACTCGACCTGACTGAGTGAAGTCCAGCGAGGATGTTTGGCCGAATCAGGTCCAAACCTCTCCAGTTGCAAACTCGGAGACTCGGTCCTCTTTTTCGCCACTTCGCCGCATCAAAACTCCTCTGGGAAGGTGGGGCATAATGCATGTGGGTCAGCTGTCCAACCATGTGTCACAGTGGTCGATCCACGGATTACTCAAACAAAAAACAGGCAGTCCGACGACAAAAAAAGAGGGTAACTGGTGCATGTCTCATGTGCTCAGCTGTGCAAGGTCTGAAAGGTTGGTCCAATATAAAGGCAGACTGTCTTGATCACAGATATCACAGTCCATGTATCATGTAAATCGAACAACAAGATTCATATCGTAACGGTTTCAAACCGCACGAAATGTATGCAACATTATGCAACATTCATACAAAATTGCCTAACTAACATAGTATTCAGCTATCGTGTAATTTTGTGTACTTCTTACTGTAGGCCCTGACATAAACAAACATAAATATAACGAATCTGCAACCGCCAATTCTCTTGGAAAACACATTGCTTGTGACAACCCCCTCATGGATGGAATTACATTATATATAATTCTGAGTAATTCCCTCACCACAGAGCCCGCCCTCCTTGCGCCAGCTTGGCAGAGTTGCGGTCGGGCTCTGCGGTCACATCTTGGACATTGCCTTCTGCGCCTTACCTGCTGAAGGACCAAAGATCTGATTCAACAAGTTCATATATATATATACCCCTTTATTTGCACCGTAGTATGATTTATGAATATGGTATCATCAAGTTGCGAGCGGCTTTCGGGTGTCTAGAGTCTAAAAGTCACTGAATAAAGCGTGATTCCCTGTTCCATCTCTTCCGTGAGTTTTCGAACAATGCCATCAAAAGGAGGGTGCACTGCGTTGGTTTGAGCAAGCCTCGTTTCATGGGGCAAACATATTGTCCGGCTGGATCGTTTGCCGGGATGGACGTTAATTTGGGGGTGACTGGGAAGCGATCTAATGGACGAAAGTGATCTCCGAAGAAACTGGAAAACCAACGTACAAGTCTCTGCCAAAGCCGTTAGAAATCGATAGACAAATTTATCCACACACGCTTATCGTTTAACGTGGGGTGCGTTTGAGTAACTCTCCATGGAAAACAAAAAAACAAACATACTCATCCTATTTCCTTCTGAGGGATGTCAAAGTTAGCAATTCCTGCAAAAACAGGTTTTGTAAGCTTGTACGGAGGCTTGCTGAGAGGCTTGCTGAGTACCCCCCTCTATCGGCCATCAATTTACCCTAAACATCGGAGACATTGAGAACACCATGAATGTTGCACCTACGAATTTGGAGACCTAGTTGGTGACCAAAACCGACAGAATGCTTGTCCAACGAGGAACCTGCAACAAACATGTTGCCACAACTAGGAACCATTGAGCATCCAGGAAACATTGCGAATTGCCTCTTCCTACACCCCCACACGGTGCATCCACCTGAGCCCACACTGTAGCTGGACCTCGGATGGCAGGAGACAGCTGGCTGAGCGCTGCGTGGCTCACCTCGAAGCCCTGCAGCTGCTCGCACGCCTCCAGCCTCGACACGCCAGAGTTGGTTTTTGGAACATCTTGAAAACCCGCTGAAACCCACCATGTCAAACCCAAGGGTGCTTCATGGTGCTTCTATGCCAGTCTGAGAGGCTTTTCTGCGGTGTTCTGTCCACGTTGGAAGATGGAGTCCTCAAGGTAGGGACACCAGTTCAAACACCCCCCGCAAAACCCAATCAAACCTGGGGGCGTGAGGGTTTGCGACAAATGGTTTTGCTCTAGAAACTACAGTAGATGTTCCTGTTGATGAGATGGCAGACCACATTCGTTGGAGGGCTTCCCAATCGGCCCAAACTCATAGAATTGTCGGACAACTCTCCATCCAGGTGTCCACTGCGTCAACTTGGGATAGCCAAGCAAGTCGATGCCATTCAACTTGAAGAGTCCTCTAGGGGCACGCTGGCCCAATGTCTTGGCATGCAAATCTGAGGGAAGGGAGGTCCTTGTTTGACAGAGTGCAATGCACTGTTCAATCACCAAATGATTTCTATTAGGAGGTCTATCATGAAATGCATCAAAACCAAGGGTCCTCCACTTTACGTGTGTGAGGGATGTTTGAAGGACGCACCGTTTTATTCCCGAAAGCTCCTGCGAAGGGTTCTCCTTTAGGAACGACTACCAATTTCAACTGTCCAACTATCATCTTAATCATCATCAATATCATCATCATCACCATCATTATATGAAGTTGCAGAGATACAGGTGATTGATATGATTGCCAAGGAAATCATCATCAAATGAAGGGGAAACACCTGGTATAATACATCTACAGAGACACAGGTGCTTGGATAGGCGTCTTGCTGGGGAGCAGGATGATTGGCGGATTCAACGAGGCTTGGTGTTACATTGTTGTATGTAGTCCGTGGCACACGGTATTACGTCTGCGGTTTTGCGTTGCCTCGGTGGGAGCTGAAAGTGGAGAGCATCTACCGTACATAAAAAGTTGTTCGGTGCCACTTTGGGCTTCGGCACAGGCACCATTTCGGAAGCCTAAAAGTATCCAAGACTGGATTTGTTTCCAAACCAAAGAGAGCCGCCCTGCAAGTTGCCGTGGCAGAACAATCGCCCTGGCTACCCAACTGGCATAGAATCAAATCACAGGATTGATTGATTGACGTGTGGTTTGACGATGTTCCTCTACAAAGCAATTTGAGCCGTCTTATTTTATTCAGTTCCCAAACAACTGGGCTTCAGTTTGGTGTTCCTTTTCCAGGCATCTTCCGGAGGGCTTACATTTGTTTTTCACCAGGACGGCCAGGTCACCCAGTTGTTTTAGGGTCACAACGGTCCTGAAGTTGGATGGCTGCTGGCCGCTAGCCGCAGTGTGGGGGAGCCCCAGTCGATGTGGAACAAGAAACGGTTTAGACGAGCACCTGTGAACTTCACAACAAACCACTCGGAGACAATGGTCCCGGAATCAATTTTGGAGTTATTTTTGTTTTTTGGTGCTGGTATAGCTCGAAGTGCAGATTTCCTGGTGAGCAGCGTTATGTGAGCCTCGGAGTGCACTGTGGAAAGCACGGAACGCTGATCTTAACATCTAGGTCTCATGTCAGATGGAAAAAACCTGGAAAAAGCCTGGGCCTGGTAGCCCTTAGCATCTAACCTCGGGTGGCTCACAGAAGATGTGTTATGTTGGAGTGGTCCCTATCCTTCTTTAACATTTACATTGGCAGCGCTTTGTAACCCTCGTTGATCTAAGCATTCAAGTCTTTTGTGAGATGGCCAAAGCCTGGTGGCCCGTAGCATCCGCCTTGGGACAGGCATGTTGCTGCATTGGACTGGCACCTTCCTCCTCTAATTTTTGGGTAATTTTTTCCCTTGGGCGGCTCACAAAAGGTATGCACCATTGGACTGAACCTCGGGTGGCTCACAAAAGGCGTGCTTTGGACTGGCTGGCACCTTCCTCCTTGAAAATTTACCTTCGGGTGGCTCAAAAAAGGTATGCATTTTGACCTTGGCAGCGCTTTGTAAACCTCTCTGATCTAAGCATTCAAGTCTTTTGTGTTCTTTCGTGAGATGGCCAAAAAGTCTGGTGTGGGGCCTAGCATCCGCCGTTATGGGGTCGCGGTGGATAAAGGCATCTATGTTACGTTGTTGTTATGCAGATTTCCTGGTGAGCAGCGTTATGTGAACCTAGGAGTGCACTTTGGGAAGCACGGAGCGCTGATCTTAACATCTAGGTCTTATGTCAAAGAAGCAAAGAAACACAAGCAGGAAAGCAAGGAAGCTGTGAGAAGCACAAAAAGCAGCAAAAGCGGCAGTTTTGGGCTCACATACATAAGCAACAAGATGGATTGATAAGCATTATGGTTTTTTGACGCACGTGCCCAAAGGACCTTGTAGCACCAGAAGGACAGGGGACCAACCAAGGGACCAGGGGACCAAGAAACCAGAAGAGCAAGAGACCAGGGAACCATTGGACCAAGGGACCAGCAAACCAAGGGACCAGAGGAACAACAATTCTTTATTGATGCGTATCAGTATTGTTGTTTCTTTGATGCATTTCATGTTTTCTTGATGCTCATTATTTGATCTTGATACCTGTCCCTCAAAAGCACAGCATCAACTAATCAAAGATCAAAGAGACTCACTACGCTACAAAAGACGAGAAGAAGGAAAAACAGAAACCCGGAGAAACAGGAGGAAAACCCACCAAGCAAGAAAGAAAACAAAAAATGCAGCAAAGGCAAGGAAATATAAAAGGATTCAAAAAGAAGCAATGAAAAGCACGGAAAAGCAAGAAAAGCAGAGAAGCAGTGGAAGCAGTGAGAAGCAAGGAAAAGCAACACAAGCACAGAAAAGCCGGAAAAGCAAGAAAAGCCAAGAAGCAGTGAGAAGCAAGGAAAAGCAAGACTAGCACAGAAAAAAACACACACACACAATAAACATTCTAAACATAAAAACAAAACATCCACAATTATATACACCCCCATTTTGTAACCGCCCCTGTGAAAACACGGATGTATGAAGTGCGTCGTGTTTCGTTTCCAACCGCTCGAAGTGTCGGAGTGAAAAGAACGAAGTGAAAAAGGTAAGAGCTCCTTTTCTATGCGTAGCGTGAACACGCGTGCTCAAGGGGCCCCTTAGGGCATATGGCAGCGGTCCGTGGACAAAAGCTGCAGTCGGAAGCGACCCACCATGGATTCTCCACATTTCATGGAGTGAAATTCACACCGGTGGTTGTCGCCTAAAGCCTGCGCCACTTCACCAGCGCTTCCGTTGCGCAAAATGCGCGCGCTTCCCAGGTCTTGAGCTGATCTCTGTCAGCTGTCGCCAGACCTTGGCACTCCATGGTGGTGTGAAAGGATTTTCCTCTCTTTGTGGTCCAAATGACCCTTGGTATGAAATCACTTTCCAACTCATTCTTCAAATTGACGAACCGCTGTTGAAGGTTCGCCCACTGGAAACTTGTCTTGTGCAAATCTTGTTCGGCCTCAGTGAGTTGGCCTTTCAAAAATTCAACCTTTTCTACCATTTCGTTCAGATCCTCTTCGTGCGCTGTGCATTGCGCTTGCAGCTCAAAAATTTCTGCTTCTTGGTCATTGGTGAAGTTCCGAAGCCTGATGTTTTCCGCTTTGATGAGGCGGATCGTTTCTTCTATCATGTGGTCGGTTTGTGTTCCGACCTGTGAAGAGCTCGAGGTGGTGGTCCTCAACCATGTCAACCTGGTAACCGAAAAACTCATGGATGTAGAGACTTTGAGACACTGCCAAATGAACATGCCAAAGAGGATGACATAGAGCGTCAGTGTCATCTCAGGGGAGAGCATGAATGCTAGAGCTTCTTCAGCTGCCATGGCTTTAACTCCAATCATTTGCGAGGTGAGAACTGCAAAAGCAAGCTGCTTCGTGTTGCCAGTCCTCGAGATGGCGTGTCTTCTGGAGTTTGCTTGCCTTTCGGCCTGGGTCTTCTTCTTGGCGGCCTGGAAGGTCATGTCCGATTGCAGAGAGAGGCAGTGGGATCGTAAGCGATCTGCGAACAACTGTCGGGCCGTGAACTTGGTGACCCCGTCGGCGATCTGAGCTTCCGAAGATACCCACTTCAGGCGGGATCTCATGCCCACCATTTTCTGTTTTGTGACCATGGCCTCAATCTTGGTGCGCTTGTCGCCTTGAAGACTTGGTGTCTCGGCTTTCAGGGAGTCATAGAGGGCCTTGGCGTCCACCACTAATGCCGATGGCATCTCAGGAGCAAAGCTGTCCACCTGACGAAGCTGGAAGTCATAGCGGATGCATCCTTCCCAGAAAATCAAAAGATACTCCAGGGCATCCATAGCGGCCGAACAAGCCTGACTCTCAGCATTGAGTGAAGATCCGCCAATCGAGGATGATGTAGTCCTGAGTGGATCCGTCTTCCAGCGCTTGTTGATTGCAAAGGAAGATCACATAGCCGCCTTGCGACTCATTGTTTCGGCGCACTCCCCAAGCTGCGTCGCTCATTGCGACCACGCACAACTTGTTCATGTCTCCTCCAAGATCTCGAAAGACCAGAGCTGCATCGCCGTTTGACTTGGCGAATCTGAGAACTTTGTTGGCCTGGGCTGCTGTGTCACCTGTTGCCGTGGTGACTTCTCCACATAGCAAAGAGACCGAAGCACTGAGGTGTGGAGACGTTTGTGTAGCCGGCCACTGAAGTGCTCCCAGCAAAGCTCGAAGACAGCTCTGTTCCTTGGAGTTGAGACTACGGTTGGAGTCATAGTTGATGCATGTCATGGGTTTCACACCCTTGAGGTACTCAGCCTGGTGCAGCTTGGATTCTGTCGAGGTTCGACTGAGGTGGCATCCACAAAACTCAAGAGGCTTGTCCTCGGTTTCCTCAGTCCAATGCTTGAAGTTGAAGGCGTCTCTCAACTGGAGTTTGAGGTGCTCATACTCAGGGTGGCCATCCTGTCCACAGCCAAGCAGGTCATCGACATGAAGACCAACCATGGAGATCAGGTGCTTGTCGGAGTCGTGGAACGTGTAGAGGCATTGATCCAGGGCGTGAGCCTTGTAGCCTAAGCTTTCTAGTCGTCTGCGAGCGACAATGAACCATTGCCTTGGGGCATCAGCCTGGCCATAGATCGGTTTGATCAACTTCATCAAGGTTCCTGGAACAACACCGATGATTTGGCAGGCGTCTTTTGGAATTCTGGCCCACAGAGTTCGCTCCTGAGGATCTCCCTGGAGGAATGCAGTCGACACGTCAGCTGTCCACCTTTTCCAATGGCTAACCTGGCTGATGGCTAGGAGAGTCTGCCTTGAAGTTCTCGACAGTGTTGGTGAGCTTGTGTCCAGTGACCCTTGAAGAAGGTCTGGGTCGGAGAATCCTTGAAGCACAAGTCGTGCTTTGGCTTTCATGCCACCTTTTCCATCCGAAGCCCACTTCAAGACAAAGCGAGCCT